GAAAAATTATTTTAATTTGTTAAAATTATTGAAAAACTCGAATTTTAATAGCCTCTGGATGACGTAGTATAAGAAAGTATATAAAAATCTACTTATATTTGAAAAAACATTTAAATTTTTTTGTCATATCAATGCTCCCAAGCGTTGATGCATCTACCTGTATTCTTCTGCAATGCTTGCGTACCTCTCTCATACCCTGTTTACATTGAACCTCATAAAGAAGCAAAAGGATTTACCCCAACCAAGATAATGTAAACGTACTATTACTATTATTGACATAATTTATCTATAATTATGTATTTGGCGTATATTTTCATATTATAATTTATTCATTAGGGCTAAACCAGATCAAAGTTTCAATCATGACTTGGGGGTGAAAATACAACAATGTTGTCACTTATAGCGTTGATGCATTTACCTGTATACTTCTACGGTTTTTTCATGACAGAAAAATATAGGTAAATGCAACAACGCTTGGAAACATTAATATGTCAACAATTTTAAAGTGTTTTGTCAAAAAATAAGTAGATCTTTATACGTTTTCCTATACGACGCAAATCGGAGGAGATAAAAATATGTATTTTTACAAATTTCAATAATTTTTCATTCAAGATTTTCAATTCCAAAATCGGTTTGACAGTTCATTGTCCCAGCAGCTGTGTCGATGCGACCACCTGTATTCTTCTACCATTCGTGTTTTGATCTTATATAGTCTGTTTACATTTCTGAATTAAAATTCACTGAATTTATTCAAACCAGTAGAATGTAAACATACTATTACCGATATAACAGATCTTTCATGATTTATTTGAAGTATATTTCCATACATTATTCGGTATGTTAACCAAGACAGAGCGCTTTGTGGACATAGAAGTTTATACGGCTTGTCTAGTGAATAACAGCTGTCAATTGAGTATATGTCAAATAGAATTCGCTGGATTTAAGATATGACGTATACCATGGTAAAAGAATATAGGTAGACGCGTCGACACAGCGGCTGGGACAATGAACTGTCAAACCAATTTTGGAATTGAAAATGTTGAATGAAAAATAATTTAAATTTGTAAAAATTGTTGAAAAGCGCGAATTATAATAGCCTCCGAATGACGTCGTATAAGAAAACATATAAAAATATATTTGAAAAAACACTTAATTTTTTTTTTTGACATATGAATGCTCCCAAGCGTTGAAGCATCTACCTGTATTCTTCTGCCATGACGTATACATAATGGAAATGACAGATAAAATCCACTGGATTTATTATATGTTATACATGAACATATAACCTAAAAAGGTACAGAAAATCTCACCGGGATTACCGAAGATTTCGAAAAAAGAACGTATATATTAAATTAAATTTTAATCTTATAAATATTACTATTACTATTATTATTATTATTATTATTATTATTATTATAAATATTATTATAAATTTTATTATTATATGTATTTGGTTAGCTAAGCTGTGTTTATCTCGTGTTTTTTTATCTTCGTATGTTTAAATACAATTCTTGTGTAAATTTATGCGTTTCTTATCCTAGTTATCTTTGGAATTTAATTATTGGCTTGTGTTATTCTTTTTTGGTTGTTTCTTACTTAATAAAATATACTGCAATTTAATTAGTTAAAATAATAGTAAATAGTTTTTTTTTGTTTGCCTTTAAGGAATTCGAACTTTTTTGGTTTGGAAATTTTTGGTATATGTTTTCCGGGTTTGGATAAGTGAAATTTGTAACCTCGTTTTTGTTTCTGTTTTTTTTTTTTTAATTTTCACATATAAATATTTCATCGTCTTTTTGTTTTATGTTTTTTGATATATCACACTTCTTGGATCATTAAAATGGAAAAAAGAAACCACAATGGTTACCTTAATATGTTTTTTGCTATGTTAATAAATGTTCTCGTTTTTTTGTTTGTTTTGTTTTATTGACATTTAAAATATATTCGAATATCACTTGAATTTGTTTTTTTGGTTTTGGTATTATATTATTATGACGGTAATGACTGAATCAATTATATTTTCTGTCCAATTTTTCTCTGTGTAGCTCTTCTCTATGATCACTCTCTCGCTCTCATTAAAAATCGCTCACATTATTTTACACCAAATAAATACCAGAGATGGAAAGTCAAAATGTTTGTTTAAGACAATTATCTGGGATGGATAGTTGAAATTATGTATAACATAATGTGATGAGGGTGGGGAAGTTTGAATTACTGAAAACGTGAAAATTAAAAACTTTGATATCTTTTAAATTATTTTTGATATTTTTAAAAAAAAACTTTAAAGATGGTGGTGGGTCAAAAAAGCTTTTTGTGTACTCTCACCTTTAGAATGACAGCTCGGTATGCTTGTTTGTTTGAGCTTAAAAAATGTTTGATTGTGGGTTCGGAATATTTGTTACACCCTTCAAAATAGCCAAATTCTTCAATGAAATTGTCCGCATAGGCCGCATATAACGGTACCCCCCGATATTTTGACGATTTTAGGAACATTATTCACCAAAGTTGTTTCAAATTTCTAGTTCGTAATATGAACTACAATCTATGTCAGAAAATTGCCTATGCAGGTCCAGTTCTACGTATAGGCTCCATAGATCAGTACCACACTATATTCGGTATTTTGATGATTTTGGGTACAATATTCACAGGATTTTTTTCAAGTTTCGTATTTGAAGATTGCAATGGATTATGACAAAATTTGCCTATGCAGATCTACGTCTTCGTATAGACCCCGTTTTTGATATTTTAACAGAATTTTTAACGGATTTTATATTTTTGAAAAATTCCAAATGGTGGAGGTTATCAAAAGTTCGGTCGGGTTAACTTACTGCTATTTTACTTCTTGATCTTCAGGACTGCATGGACTTAATTGGAACTATTTCCAATATGCAAAATTAATTAAATAAAATTGCTTGGTTCCAGTACTTGCAGAATTTTCAATTTTTTTTTCGATATCATAAAGGAAAAATCGGTTATCGTAGTAAATATTTTTTACATTCTTGCAGTTCTGGAACAGAGCAAATGTTATGTTCCCATTAACAAAATCAATCCTTCGTACTGTTTAATATTTGATAATCGACCCTTAAATTTGGGGAGCGTCGATGTAATTCAATCTGTTATAATCCCATCTAACACAGATAAGCTACACTTTGAAAGCGATATTTTCTAGTCGAGGAAATTGGCACCACCATTTATGTTCGGCATTGCTTCAAGTGTCACTCAAGCCTGCTTGAGATGCCCTCAAATTCTACTATAGTACTTTCGTCGCAAGAGCAAAAACAGTTGACGGTGCGTTTCTTTTCATTTGCCGATCAACGAAAATAAAAAGTAGAAAAGTTTGGTCGGGCCGAATTTTTTATACCCTACATCATTTGGAAAGTTAGAATGGAGGCTTTGAAGCAATTGATCTTTTACAGGAGTAAACCCCTTTACGAGATTAAAACAACGACATTTAAGTAAGTCCCTTAGAAAATGTGGCAAAAATCGCCAAAATACCGAATATTGGAATTACCGTTATATTCTGCCATAGAAGGTAGAACACGTAATCTACAATAGAATCTGAGTTTTAAAGGCTTGCCTTTGAAAAAGTGGCTAAAGTTGTCAAAATAGAGAATATCGCATTTCACAATTATATGGGGGCTATACGATACGTTGACCGATATAGCTCATCTTCGAACTTGAGCTGTTTGTATACAATAAAGAGAACTCTATGCCAAATTTTACTTTTCTATAGCATATCGTTTAGTCTCTGGCGTGATTTCCCCTAATATCGTTGTCAAGGAAAGCATATAACGGCTGTGGCGAACAAATATAAAAAATCGGTTGAACAATATATACGGAAGCTTCAGTTATATCTGAACCGATTTTCACCAAAATTTGACAAACTTGTTTCTAGCCTCATTTTATTTATTCCATCCCATTTGAACTTTGTTGCGTATAAAAAGAAAATCGGACGAAGATAAATATATGGAGCTATATCCAAATCTGAACCGATCTCGATAAAATTTGGCAAAGGTATTTCTGAGCTGTATGTGATACATTTTCCCAAATATCATTATTACAGAGTGCATATTACGGCTGCGGAGGGAGAAAATAATAAATCGGAAGAACAATATATATGGGAACTATATCTATAACTGAACCGATTTCGATCATATTTGGCATCCTTATTTCCAAGCGTTATTTGGTCGTATATGCAAAATTTCATACTATTTGCGCGGGTATTACACGTTTGGTGCACAATAAAAGGCAATTCGGACGTAGATATATATGGAAGCTATATCAAAATTTTGACCGATTATCCTTAATTTCAATAGGGTTCGTCCTTGGGTCAAACGAATTACTTGTGGAAAATTTCATCTCGATCGGGCAATAATTGCGACATGGACAGACAGACGGCAGATTATTAAAAGGAAGTATAGCTGGGAATACATAAAACGCTTATTTGGCTGGCTTCTTCGGAAATAAACAAAGGAGCCTAGGGTCAAAATCGAACTAAGTAAACCTAAAACTCCTTTGTTCCTCTACGAAGAAGCCAGCCGATGACTTAAGCCAGTCAAATAAGCGCTTTATGTATTCCCAGCTTATCTCGTTTCCTTTTGTCTGTTACAAACAAACGAACAAAAACATAATACCCTGACCACCTTGTGGTGTAGGGTATAAACAGTCAATTAGAAGATATCGAAAATTAGGAGATATTGAACATAAGAATAATATCAGTTTCTAGCAAAATTTTAAAGTTTTATTCTTTATAACGTAATTTTAATTGTCGGACTGGCAGACAGTAGTGTTTGGAATAGAATTTAAATATTTTTACATTTTGAGGAATTTTTGAAATAAATATCGGTGTATTACTTGCCCTATTAGAATCAATAAATATTTTTAACAAATTTCCCATAATTCAAACTTTCCATCTCTGATAAATTACACATTTCACCACAGAGAAATTGAGACTGAGAGAGATGCCGACTTCCCCTTATTTCATTTAGTATTGTTCTCTCTCTCTCTCTTAATACTAGGGTTGCCATCGCTTTACCTTATAGTGTCAATTCTTCATTGGATGTTTGGATTTCCAAACGTGGTGGTACACCCAACACTGGTTCATCTCGTATATCCGTTAGGATTACCACCTCATAGGGACTGCAATCGGACAAGTTCAGCAGCGAACAAAGCCAACCGTAGAACCCTTTCTCGATATCGGCAATTTCATTGAACCAACTGGAAAATTGAAAACTCAGCTGTGCAAATCCGGCATACAGGGCCAAACCAATACTACAGCCCAGGATATAGACAGGATATGCTGCCACCAGTATGGGTGACATTAGCAAACGAACAATTATCGATTTCTCCTCATGCAGATAATTGAAAACATTATACCAGGTAATGGTGCCAATGTAGAAACTATAAATTGCCGTTATTAGGGACACAAAGGGCAGACATATCAGCGAAAGTACGAGAATATGTAGGCCCGTATTCAGCGAACATTTGCAGCAGAGATTCTCTCTCTTCTGTTGAACGGTGCTAATGGCCACTGCATTGATTTTCTCCAATTCATCGCGGCTGATGTTCAACTGGAGATCGAAACTTTGCCCCTTTTTACGACCACGTTTTATGGTGCCCGTCATGGTTAAATAATTTGTGCTGTCCATTGACTTTCTGGCCGTTTGATATCGTTCCAACGAATGGTCATAGGTATTGAGCACACTTGTCTCGCCCGATTCCAAATCCTCATAGTTGGCCGCCTGATCGGGTGAATTACGTTCACTACGCAATTGGGGTAAGTCGGTTCGTATGTTCACTCGTTTCTTGGACGACGAACGATTACTTAGACAGTCATGAGATTTACTTAGCTTCACGTCCAGACTACTCTCCGAATAGCTACTGGGAGTGACCGTTGATGATTCGTGGCGATTTGTGGACTTGGTGCCCTGTGAAACACTTTCGAAATTATTCAACTCATTATCATCGACATAGATATTGTCCACCGACTGGGCAGCCGATTTGATTTCACTACTGGAATCGCCGGCGTTTTTGACCGGTATCTGTGGCAGTGGTTGTTTATTTTTTATCAGCAGTTTCGTATTGAGAAGATCCTCTTCGAGGCCATTGTTTGAGGGAGAGAGTTTTTGGCGATTCTGCAAAGAGAGGAAGATAAAGAGGAAATGAGGTTAAAAACGGGCCTTACTTGAGCGAGAGAGAGAGAGAGATATTGAGAAAAAAAATCTGCGGTTGATAATTTACCCCGGATGATGTCTGAACATCATTCAGATAATGTACCAAAATTATCTGAATTATCCAAATAGCGTGGATAATGTATCTACATTTTCCAAACAACGTGGATAATGTATCTACATTGTCCAGACAGCGTGGATATTGTATCTTCATTGTCCAAACAGCGTGGATAATGTATCTACATTGTCCAAACAGCGTGGATAATGTATATACATTATCCAAACAACATGGATAATGTATCTACATTATCCAAGCAGCGTGGATAATGTATCTACATTATCCTAACAGCGTGGATAATGTATCTACATTATCCCAACAGCATGGATAATGTATCTACAGTATCCAAACAAGGTGGATAATGTATCTATATTATTCGAACAGCGTGGATAATGTATCTACATTGTCCAAGCAGCGTAAATAATGTATCTACAATATCCAAACAGCGTGGATAATGCATCTACGTTATCCGAACAGCGTGGATAATGTACCTGCATTATCCAAACAACGTGTATAAAGTATCTACATTATCCAAACAGCGTGGATAATGTATCTACAATATCCAAACAGCGTGGATAATGTATCTGCATCATACAAACAGCCTGGATAATGTATATACATTATCCAAACAACGTAGATAATGTATCTACGTTATCCAAACAGCGTGGATAATGTATTTACATCATACAAACAAGGTAGATAATGTATCTACATTATCCAAACAGTGTGGATAATGTATCTACATTATCCGAACAGCGTGGATAATGTATCTAAATTATCCAAACATCGGAGATAATGTATCTACATTGTCCAAACAGCGTGGATAATGTATCTACATTGTCCAAACAGCGTGGATAATGTATCTACATGATCCAAACACCGTGGATAATGTATCTACATTATCTAAACAAGGTGGATAATGTATCTACATTATCTAAACAAGGTGGATAATGTATCTATATTATCCTAACAGAGTGGATAATGTATCTACATTATCCAAACAGCGTGGATAATGTATCTACAGTATCCAAACAAGGTGGATAATGTATCTATATTATTCGAACAGCGTGGATAATGTATCTACATTGTCCAAACAGCGTGGATAATGTATCTACATCATACAAACAGCGTGGATAATGTGTCTACAATATCCAAACAGCGTGGATAATGTATATACATTATCCAAACAACGCGCATAATGTATCTACATTATCCGAACAGCATGGATAATGTATCTACATTATTCAGATAATATAGGCAAAGAGCTATATTATGGAGATAGCGCAGATAAATTAGATATTTTATAGATAACATCACTTTTATTGATAAACTCATAAATTATCAATTTAATCTATGCAATGCAGATAAATTGAGTTATAGAATATTAGATAACAGAGAGGAGGTGCACAAATTATTGTTTAAGCCATTAAAAGTGTTCCTTTAAAACTACACTTCAAATATTAATTAAATATCTTTAATTTAAATATCCTCAATTTAAATATCCTTTTTTGTTGCACTTACGAAAACATTTCACTTTTATTTTCTATTTAAATTCCATTTCAACACCAACAAAAATTGACCACTCACCTGTACATTGGCTATGTGGTCCACATAATTTTGTGTGCCATTTGATTTTTTATTCGTTTGACGTTTACGTGGCGGTATAAAAACAGGGCGTTCCTTCACCGTATTGCTGGAATCGCCAGACATTTCATCGGCCACCATGTTTCTTTCAATTTTATTGAAAACTTTTTTTCGATGAATTTTTCTCAGGAGAACTTGGGGAAAAGTTAACACATTTTCACTACATAATTAATAACAATTATAGAAACTTTTCCGTTTTTATTAAATCTTCTCTGTTCGAAGTGTTTTTGAACTTAAATTAGGACGTTTTCTTTGTTGTATGGTAGGTTGGTTGGTTAGGGGCAAAGGGAATTTCCTTTCGTTTTTCGACGTTTTGTTTGGTATACACTTTAACGAATGCAGGGATAATATTTATGTAAATGCTTCGCTGTGAGATTTTTCTCCTAAATTTATTAATTATTTATTTTTATTTCACTTAGTTTATTACTTCCTTGCATTTCAAGAGAAACTCTGTGAAAACGCCTTTTTATTATCCATGAAAATCCCGAACCAATTTATGAAAATGTCAAATGTCTGTCTGGTATCGTTCGATACGCAACACTCACTCTCCGTCTGTTTCTGACATCCACTACACACTAAACTCAATTACATTTCCTCTTCCTCGGCGAGCGCTCTTATGCTTTACTGCTATTGATTATTTTTGCCCAACCATGCTTCAAAGTGGCAAACTGCATGACATGTCCTTGTAACGTTTTGTTGTTGTTTACATAATGCCGCCTTTTATGTTTGCTGCGACTTTACTCTTTGCAAAGCACTTGCTCTCTCTCTCTCTCTCGTCTCTGTCGTTGTGGATTGTGGAAGTAACATCTGAGAGTTACATGATTTGTTATTGTCCTGTCTATTGTCTCTCTCTCATTGGTTATTTAAGCTCTCTCATTTTATGTTTTGTTATGAAAATAACAACATAAAGGGATGAAAGGATAATTGAGTAAACTAAAACAGCATGTTGTTGAGGGGGTTTTTAATAGTACCAATGACGAATGAGGATGAGGGTAGACGCTAGTATGGAAGTAATAAAAGAACTTGTTAAAACAACAATAAAAATCTGTCAAATTGACAATTGTATATTGTAGGTGGCAGGCATGGGGAAACATAACAAATTGAACCTGTTGAAAACAAAAAAATGAAGCTTTTTAGACGGTAGAAAATTCAAAACGTGCAATTAATAGGAGGACATTCTTAAAGCACTCTTTTGGATGCAAGGACTTCTTAAGGTTTTCTTTAAAAATAATACATTCTGAGTGTCTTTTATGGATATAGGATTTTTAGATAATTTTTTTTTTTTTGAGGAGATATCAATTTATAGAAAGAAGACCTTTTAAAGATCTTCTCTGAATAGAGTATCTTAAGAAAACTTTTTTTGGGTTTTCGGCCGATATAACACGGTGGATATAACACGGTCAGTGAGTAGAAAATTCCAAAGGTCTTCTATGGATAGCCGGCACCAAATGGCTATTCTAGAAGATAAATTATAATTATATAATTTAATATTGGGTGGATAAAAATACAGGGTGAGATAAAAAAACTGCAACAAAGTCAAAGGCTATAATTTTTATATTTTGTTTTTTTTTTTAATTTTAATTAATAAAAGCAAAAAATGTCGGAAAAAGCATCAAATTTTAGAATAAGTTTAGATTTGTTCGAATTGGCCACCTTTCGCACGAATTATGGCCTTCAAACGGCCAATGAAACCGTTACACGCTGCCCGAATGTTGCTCTGCGGTATTTTGGCCCATTCCCGGCGAAGCGCTTGCTTGAGGTGACCGACACTTGGGTATTTTTAAGTGCCAACCTTGCTTTCCAAAATAACCCAGACACAATAGTCCAATAGATTTTGGTGGCGCTGGAAATAAAGCGAGGAACCTCATTTTGTAACCATTCTTGGGTGACACGTGCTGAGTGCGATGGTGCTGAGTCCTGTTGGAATGTCCAAGGTCTGCGGCCAAAATGTTTGGGTGCCCAAGGATTTAATACACCCTCCAGAATATTTTCGCAATAATATTCGACATTTATTCTGATGCCACGGTCGATTAATTCGAGCGGAGAGGGACTATCGGTTGTTATGGCGGCCCACATCATCACCATGGCCGGCGCTTGAGTTCTGGTGGCCAACCGAAGGTGCACATTTTCAGTTGACCTCTTAGGCAATTAAACACGATAATTTTGTTTGTTTACCAACTGCTGGACTACTTTGGCGAATGTTTTCTCATCGGAGAGGAGAAAACAAAATTTGGCAGTTCACCACTTTTGGCCAAGCGAAGCAACTCTTTAGGTTTTGCGATGTTCAATGAATGGAAGACTTAGGTTAGGTTTTATGGATAAAGAGCAAATTAAACATTTCCGTCAAAAACTCGAAGACCTCACATTTTGGTATAGGAACAGGTTGAACAAGTCTGCCTTAAATGACAAAGCCAAAGGACCAATTAGTAGATCCTTGTAGGTTCTGAAACAGAGCAAATACCACAAAACTTCAGTGGTCGAGATGTGTACCGATTTTAAAAAGTGTTGGGAAATTTTGCAAGGTTCGGGAGCACCACTCGATCATCAATGAATTAATTGTCCTCCCGATCATTCATACAGACACAATTTGGCAAAAGTTCGGAGTACTCCTCAAGTTTCACAGGACACCGTAGCACACTTACACATTTGTAGACCAATAAGTATCCTTGAACATCCAGAGACTTAAAAAACGGGAATTGTTGCACTGTTCTAAGATCTGAACTCCTTCTCCGGTGCGAAAAATTGTTACAAGGCTTCAATGTTAAGAACGTCACAATTACTCAGTACTTTGTAACAGGGAACGCTGCCCCAATTCATCAAAATAGTATGCCCTAAAAAGTAAAATTTAATTGTGTAAGATACGCAATAATTTGATTTCAAGTTTATAATACGAACCTGGACATGGACAATCTTGGGAATCCCACAGGGAGTATTCAAAAATTAGTTGTGTTTCTACATATAATCATCAGTTCCTAGGCAGTGTTGCTTACTAAAAATCATAAAAAATACTGCAGTTATAAATTATCCATAGAAATTATTTAATCTGTTGATTTTAACTTGCCATTCTACCCTCTGATTAGGAATATCCAGTTAATGTTGCATATTATAGATTTCGATGTATTTCACAATATTGTTCGGAAAAACTAACGATTTTATGCTCTTGACCAATAAGCCCATACTTTAAGCTGTTGATTATGAAATTGTAGAATATTTACACACATACCGCCATCTTTTATTTTACGTTTTTAACTTCTGTTTTCACAAGCAAGCAACCTTGTAGGCCTTCTAATTTGTAAAATATACATTGTTTAAATTCCATCAACTAATTTTTAATGCTTTTTTAATGTTTGCCATAAGTTTTCTTTTAAATATATGTTTTAACAGCTGAAAATGTTTCGTGTCCGTTGAATTTCAAAGAGGAAATGCCAAACAGTCAATGAAATGCTAGCGATAACGGCATTGTCATCGAAATGATGACAGCATGATGGAAGAGAGAGCGCAAATTTTGCAATGCAAAGAGATTCGCCCCCTTCATATGTTATTTCGCTCTCACTTAATGTATTCCCTTTATTATTTTTCTCTGCCACTCTCAACCCCCCATTAAACCATTGGAGCTCATATATGGTGGTGCTGTTGTTGTTGCCTGCTATTTTGTAAACAACTCTTCTCGATTTTACTTATTTGACTTGTTGAGACACGCCACAGAGCTCCAACTGATTTAGTTCCATCGAATGGGGAGAAGTGGTCGCAACGGCGCTTGTTTAATCACGAATTCTAGTCAGCTACAAAGGCGCGCGCGTTTTTTCTTATTATCAATAATAAAATTTTTATATTTTTTACATGTAAATAATAATAAACAACAGCAATTAACGCAACAATCATAACCAAAGTGAAGTGGGAGGCCGGTCGTCGTTCGTCTACCCATCACAGAAGTGCGAAAAGGGCGTTTTATTGCAAATTAGAGGAGAAAAAAAAAAACAAAACAAATAAATATTCGAGACGCTCGCATATTGATGGCTATTTATTAACAAACAATAGAAAAAACAGCAAAGAAACAAACACTTAACTAGGTATAAATAATTTCAAGGTTATTAGTTGTTTTTTAATAACACAAATTTTGTATTTTTAATCTCTAAGGAAAGTGAAAATCGCAACAACACACATTTCATAGTTTTCTGGTGTTTTTTTTTTTGGACAACTGGCAAGTCAAAGTGAACGACCCCGTCGACCGGACCACATTTGTAGGTGAACAAAACAACAAAAAGTGATAGTGACTTAATATAGGTAAACAACAAACAAAGAAGCAACAGTATGGAGCGTATTTTAAGAGGTATCATGCGTTATCGCAATACAACACGTGAGCAAATGGTGCGAGAATTTCAAAAAGTTCGCGATAACCCAGAGGTGAGTTCTTTTTTGGAACAAAATAGCATAAAGTCCAGACCATTTAATTTTTCATTGAATATTTTAAATTATTTTATTATGAAATACCTCATTGATATGTAATCATTAAATATTAATTAGGTATATGTGTCGGTACATATTGCATAGCGTATAGAAACGAATGATTACAGTCATTGAACCGGTTGATTGCACATGTTTAATATTTTTTTTTTCAAATCGAATATGGAAAGCTTTACCGGGGTAACATTTGGAAGAAATTTTGAAAGAACCTGTTTAATACGAAAAATCCTATTTTGATGGCTATGGGGATGCTTTAATTTATATTTAATAATAAAATAAATCACATCTGCCTTGTTTTAGAAGAGGCATCTCTAAAATACAAATTAAAATAAGAAGAAATTTCAAAACTGTTACCCAAAAAATTGGTAATATTATGGAAAAATAGGCCTGTTTTTGTCCTTAAATATTTGTTTAGATCTCTTTCTCCAGGTGATTAAAAATAGAAAAAATCCTTTTTTAATTACTAAAACATTAATAAATTTAAGATTGGCTTTCATCGGCTACCTCCCCTATACAAAGACCTAAAATGGTAAAGACTGGACAAAATGCATTCTGAGCAAATGGTTTGTGTCTATACTGTCTAGATAACAGCTCAAGACAGGACCATGTTGATATAAAAAAACACATTTATAGAAAAAAATGACAAACAAAACTTTGAAAACTCCAAAAATTTGGTTTCCAAATTCTATTCCATAGACTTTCCCAATTAATTGCATATGGCCTAAGCGGTTTAAATCGCTTAACATTGCTAACTATGTTGTTACGATATCATAACAACAGAGGTATTTTCACAGGGTTGCCACATCTTGACTCTGTCTTGTCCCATCTTTATACTTCTATGTCTTTGCCCTATAGAAGTGAAGGGTAAAGAGAACGGATTATTCAACTTTTCCAAAGTCGCGTAGACAATACTTGCACACTCGTTTTAGTACCTCCCCTATAGAAGATTAAAATTATGAATTATAATAACTTTAACTAACCGTCTAATTGTCTTTCTTTCACATCCCAGTATATCTATCAACTCTGTGTGACGAACCACTCCTTCTCGTAACTCTCCCACAAAGGGTAAACATTTTGAATGCCCATTATCCTTATAAAATGCAAAATTATCATCCGATTCTTTTTAAACTTGACGCGTCCCAATATTTCTCCCAACAAACGATCCGGTGTGAATTAATTGGACCACTACTTCTCGTTCATCTCCCACAGAGAGTCAAAAATTTAACTAATCGTAACTATTACACTGTGTAAAAACCGTCTTCAGCTTGTTTATAAAGACTGTCATGAACTTGTCTATAAAAATTCAAAAATGCAGATCATATATAAAGCTTCCATTTACGTTGTCTAAAAAAATTTTCTTTAGGCCTTTTTAAAGACTTCCTTGTGATTGTTTTTAAAAAACGCACGTTTGGTCTATAAAGACTTCCTTAATGTCATCTATAAATACTAACTTTAAGACGTCTATAAGAAGTACTCTTAAGACCTATATCAAAACCCGTATTTTGTGATCTATAAAGTCTCTATTTAGATCGTCTACATATTGATTGTAGACGATTGTCCATAAAAAAATCCCTCAAGGTCATTTAAAAAGACCTCCTTAAGGTCATCTATAAAGACTCCCTTAATGTCATCTATAAAGACTTCCTTAAGGTCATATATAAAGACTCCGTTAAGGTCGTCTATAAGAATGTCTTTAGTTCGTATATAAAAACCCTCTTAAGTTCCCTTTAGGTCGTCTACAAAGGCTCCTTTTAAGTCTATAAATACTCCATTTAGGTTTCTGCAAAGATTCCCTTAGATTGTCTATATACGACCTCTTGGTAGGCTATAAAGCCTCTCTAGTCGATAAGGACTCCCTTCAGATAGTCGATAAAGGTTCTCTTTGTTTTAAAGTTGTCTATAAAGACTCCCTTCAACTCGTCTATAAAGACTCCCTTCAACTCGTCTGTAAAGACTCCCTTCAACTCGTCTGTAAAGACTCCCTTCAAGTCGTCTATAAAGACCCCTTCAACTCGTCTATAAAGACTCCCTGCAACTCGTCTATAAAGACTCCCTGCAACTCGTCTATAAAGACTCCCTGCAACTCGTCTATAAAGACTCCCTTCAACTCGTCTACAAAGACTGCCTTCAGCTCGTCTATAAAGACTGCCTTCAGCTCGTCTGTAAAGACTCCCTTCAGCTCGTCTATAAAGACTTCCTTCAGCTCGTCTGTAAAGACTCCCTTCAGCTCGTCTATAAAGACTCCCTTCAGCTCGTCTATAAAGACTCCCTTCAATTCGTCTACAAAGGCTACCTTCAATTCGCCTAAAAGTAATACCTTCAACTCGTCCTTAAAACTATAAAGACTCCCCTTAGGTCATCTGCAAAGACCCTCCTTGGCTTCTCTTTTGCTTATCAAGTATGCTACTCTTATCTTCGTCCGTCCATTCACCCCCTCCCAAAATAAACTGAAACCCAAAGACCTTGAAAGAAAATATCGTCTTAATTAAACGAGACCCTTATCTAAGTGTCACTCATAATTTTGTTTACGAAAAAAACTACTAATAACACTCTTATCTACTGTGCTCTTTTGTTATTTTTTTGCAGCCCAAAGCAGTTTTCTTCACCTGTATGGACAGTCGTATGATTCCCACCAGATATACGGATACTCATGTCGGTGATATGTTTGTGGGTGGGTGTGTAATTTATAGTTGATTATCTATGCCGTGTCATATCTAACCTAATATCAATCTTGTTTTCTTTTCGAACAGTACGTAATGCTGGTAATTTAATACCACATGCCCAGCACTTTCAAGATGAGCACTACAGCTGTGAACCGGCTGCCCTGGAATTGGGTTGTGTGGTCAATGATATACGTCACATAATTGTGTGTGGCCATAGTGATTGTAAGGCAATGAATTTGCTATATGAGTTGAGAGATCCTGAATTTGCTTCCAAGGTAGGTGGTGGGGGAGAGTGTCTCGTAGCAATAGAAACAAATTTAATTTGTTTATGTATTTTTTTATTTGCAGCGCAATCGTCGTCTATCGCCTTTAAGGGCTTGGCTATGTACACATGCCAACACAAGTCTTAACCGTTTCATGGAATGGAAAGAGGCTGGCATGCAGGACCCTTTAATATTCTCCTCAGAAACACCGCTGCGTCGCTTTGTCGCCTACATTGATCCAGAGAATAAATTTGCCATTGAAGACAAACTTTCGCAAATTAATACATTGGAGCAAATGTCCAATATCGCCTCGTATGGCTTCTTAAAACCACGCCTGGAATCACATGATTTACACATACATGCCTTGTGGTTTGATATCTACACGGGTGACATTTATTTCTTTAGTCGTGGCGCCAAACGTTTTATAACCGTCGACGAGGATAGTGTGGAAAAGTTAACCGATGAAGTTCGAAGATTTTATTCCTAAGGAAAAGGAGGGATAATGAATTATGGGAAATTAACAATTTGAGACCAGTCATGCATTTAACTGTGATATTGATACAGGTCTGAAGTTCACTTCTAGAGTTGAAAATTGGATCAAAGGAAAAGAAAATGGTTTCAATTGCCTTCTATGAGGATTTCTTGAATATTCCATAGGCCTGTGTTAACCACCTGTTAACAATTTAACAATGAAATACCACTTTTTAGGGATTTGATTCTTATTAATGTTTAAATAGTAATAATAAACTAAATATACAAACATATATTTATCCGAATATATAGATACATATTTTTTAAAATGTTTGTATTTTGCTAGTAAAAGTAAGGTGTAAAATAATAATGTAACAATCATCTGAAAAAACAATTAAAAATTGTGTGTTCGTAATATTAATCTATGTATGCTAAATAAAATATACAATCTAAATGTACATCTGTTCAAAGCGAGTTTGTGTCGAATATAAACGCTTCTTTATAGACCTCTAGAAAACGGTATGTTTAGTCATTTATTATAATTTCCACCCTTTATGGTTATCAATCAAGTCTTTCTCTAACGTCCATATCCGGCTTTTTAGTGCGCTGCTCAATATTTTCTGGTGGCCTAAAAATTCTTCTTTAGGTCATCTAAATGTGTCCTTTCAGTTCGTCTAAAAAACTCCCTCCAGGTCGTCTATAAAGACTCCCTCCCGGTCGTCTATAAAGACTCCCTCCCGGTCGTCTATAAAGACTCCCTCCCGGTCGTCTATAAAGACTCCCTTCAGCTCGTCTATAAAGACTCCCTTCAGCTCGTCTATAAAGACTCCCTTCAGCTCGTCTATAAAGACTCCCTTCAGCTCGTCTATAAAGACTCCCTTCAGCTCGTCTATAAAGACTCCCTTCAGCTCGTCTATAAAGACTCCCTTCAGCTCGTCTATAAAGACTCCCTTCAGCTCGTCTATAAAGACTCCCTTCAGCTCGTCTATAAAGACTCCCTTCAGGTCGTCTATAAAGACTGCCTTCAGGTCGTCTATAAAGACTCCCTACAACTCGTCTATAAAGACTCCCTCCAACTCGTCTATAAAGACTCCCTCCAACTCGTCTATAAAGACTCCCTCCAACTCGTCTATAAAGACTCCCTCCAACTCGTCTTTAACTCCGTTAATAAAGCTGTTTTTCTTATTTTTATTTTATTTTTAAAAATATAGTTTATTGGTTTATTTTTATTGAGATACACCTATGGATTGAAGAAATTTGGAACTATACAAAAATATCTTAGATTGTGAGTTAAAAATTGAAATTGAGCTTTAATTAATGATTTTAGTTTTCGAAAACAGATCTTATCTCAATTGCGAAATGCGTCTTTAGAGAAATTGAAATTTCAGATGTGATTGTGGTCCTTAAAAATAAACATAGGAAGTGCGAAATTTATTACAAAAAGTATTTGCTATTTTTTAGTAAATATTCTTCAGATAAAAGACAAAACAAATTTCATAAAAAAAATAACAACAAATACCTCATTATTTTATTTAGATCTTATGACTAAATTGTTCAAAAGAAAAAATATTAAAAGAAAAAAACTCCACTCTATCCCATGAAGCGGAGTAATGGAAAAGAAATTTGAAAAAAAAGTACCAGTACATAAAATATTTACAAGCACTTTGCACTTAAATATAACATTCATTGCAACCTCTTGGTGAGAGGCGAGAAACAATTGGAACTCTTCAATGATATTGATGATGGCTGACAGCATTTGTATTTGGATTCTCCAACTCCTCAAAATATTTCCGAGCATTGCGTATATTTACCAATGTGGCCTCGGATGGTATGGTGGGATCAGACATAACAACCATAACATATGTGTTGCTGGTAAAGGTGTCAATGAATGCAGCAAAGGCACTGTTGCGAACCTCAATTGAATGGAATTTACCACCCAATTTCGAACAGCTTAATTTAAATTGTTTAATAATGTTGGAAACTTTTTCAAAACGATGTGAATCACGGTTCTTTTTACTTTGACAATGTGAGATTACTAGAAATGTTGCCTTCTCGAAAAGTAACACCTCGTCGGCTTCGATGACATTGGCGAAAGCCGACAGGGAATTTTCCAATGCAGCAACATTTGGTATGAGCATAGTTACAATGCTGGACCAGGCTCTGAAAAAGAAAGAAAAACAAATGAAATGTCGTTAAAAGTTTTATTTTGATTCGGTATATTTTATAGAAATTCCCTTAAGATTGTCCACAAAGCCTTCCGACATGTCATCTATAGAATTATAGTTAGGACCGCTAGTTAAAAATAACTTCTCCCTAAGTTGTCTATAAGACTCCTTTCCGTCGTCTATCAAGACTCCTTTCAGTCATCCTTCAAAACTCCTTTCAGTCGTCTTTCAAAACTCCTTTCAGTCGTCTATCAAAACTCCTTTCAGTCGTCTATCAAAACTCCTTTCAGTCGTCTATCAAAACACCTTTCAGTCGTCTATCAAGACTCGTTTCAGTCGTCTATAAAAGACTGCTTTCAGATTCCCTTCAGTCGTCTATAAAGCCTCTTTTCAGTCGCCCATAAAGCCTCTTTTCCCTCGCCTATAAAGCCTATTTTCAGTAGTCTATAAAGCCTACTCTCAGTCGCCTATAAAGCCTTCTTTCCGTCGTCCAAAAGGACTATCAGGACCACTTTTAGAACATAAACCCTAATTTCAAACGGCTACAAAGACTTCCTTTAGTAGTCAATATAGACTCCTTTCAGCCTTCTATAAATACTCCTTTTTAAATGGCCTTTTAGTCGTCAATAAAGACTCCTTTCAGTCGTCTATAAAGACTCATTTCAGTCATATATCAAGACTTCTTTCAGTCGTCTATAAAAGACTCCCTTCAGTCGTCTATAAAGGACTCCCTTCAGTCGTCTATAAAAGACTCCTTTTAGTCGCCTATACAGCCTCCTTTCTGTCGTCTATAAAGACTTGCTACAGTTGTTAATAAAGACCCCTTTCAGTCGTCTATTAATACTTTTTTAGCTCTTCTGGTGACACTTATTTTTCTGTCAAAGAAAGACCAAATTATGCCCCTCTTAAAGGTATCAAATTTGGCGTTTTAGGAGTCTATAATTCTTCGGGTTGTCTCAATAGTTTACTTCCTGATCATCTATAAATACTCTTCAATTTTCTATGCCAATCAATTCTTTGCTTTAACTCCTTGCCCTTTAATTTGTCCTTAAAGGCTCCATGCTTTCATCGCACCTATAAAGGCTCCCTTCTCATTGGCTTCCTCATACAGACTTTCTGTCTTTGCCTATATAGACTCCACTAGCTCCTATTCCGTTTTTAATGTTAATGCCTTCAGCTCATCTATAAAGATCTCCTGCTCGCTTTTCACAGTCAGTCCTCCTTTAGATCGCCCTTTCGTATTTACCTATAAAGCGTTTCATCCCAAATACTCGTCCTAAAGCAAGTAACATTTCCGGGCCTTGAAAGTCTTATCAAATCATCTTCACGATCCTTGAACAAAGTTTCTCTTTGTTCCTCGGCCACCAGATCCATTTTGTGGATAAGACAAAAGATTTTGGCATCGGGAGAATTCTGTAACAAACAAAATCATTTTAACAGTATTTCTTTATAATATAGCAAATATTACCTGTAACAATGCTTCCAAACATGATTGATAATAGTGGACATCTCTTTCCAGTTCACGACTCTCAACATCAAAAACATAGATCAGCACCTCAACGTTACGGAAGATATTGTCACGCTGTGAGGCAAAGTATTGTTGCATGAAGCCCTCTTGGCCACCACAATCCCACAGGTTTAGAACCAGATTTCCCAAAAACCGGACATGGGAGTGTTCCACATCGACTGCAAATAGTTATAAAAGGAGGGTTAATTTATTTAGAACCGGGGAACTGTGCTGTGGCACATCTTACTTGTTGCTCCCAGCCGCGTTGTATCTCTGGCAATGTAATTGGCAAATATAATGGAACGCATACTCGTCTTGCCGGAGCCACTCTTGCCCATAAGCAGAACCTGTTGTGAAAAAGTGGTTTCAGTTGTTTTTCATTGTAATTCTTTATCAATATTATGTTTCCCTACCTTCTTCTTCATTTTGTGGGATGTTTTGTTGATATTTTACGTCTAAAAATTGGTAGATTGCTTAGTTTTTTTGTGAAATATGGATTTGCTTTGGTTTCCTTATTGCGTTTTCCTACGCCCAATAAAATAACAAGAGGATTACAAAGTCCCTTTGTAAAAAATGACGGCGTAGAAATGAGAAACAAAGGAAGAAGAAAAAAGCACAATGAATATTGGTATAAAAACAAATAAATCTAATTCCCACTGATAACAAATTAACAGCTGGATCACTGACCTTATGTTTGTTGTTGATTATTGCACAACGTAACGCATAAGATTGGAGCCGTTAATTTACGTCTTCTAAAGGGCAATTTGACAAATAAATGAGGGGTTTTAAATAATATTTTATCTAGCGGGGTTTGCCTTTTAATTGCTATGGCGTTATCTGGAATATTAGCCAAATAAATTTAAATACAAAAAAAGAATATTTATATGTGATGGAAAGTATAATATTGGAGTTTTCTAGTATATACCTCGACATATTTTAACATTAAATGATATTACAAAAAATATTGGTGGATTTTTATACAATCTGATATAAGATATATTATCGTGATTTTCAAAATTATTTAATATTTTCCCATGTGACGCCCATGACGGCTACCATGATAACTTATTTATGAACCAATTTGTTACGCTCGTTTGGAGTAATATTCATTTGCGATCTTAACAAAGGCACGTTTTCATAAAAAAATTCAGTTATATTTTTTAAAAACAGATCATCCGTCAAGACAGGCAGAAAGTCTCCAGAATGATTTTTCCAAAATTAACATTAACTCTGAGTATAATTTCTGGATTATCTGGGGTGCTAACTCAAGATGTAGGAAGACCAAAGGTATGTCCTGAAGTTAGTAATAAGAGTTTATGAATCTTTTTCATTTTCGAAATAAATGTTTTTTAACTGCAGTTGAAAATTACAATTATTTACGAAGCTTTGTGCTCCGATAGCATAGATTTCTTAGCCCATCAATTGGGACCGAATTACGATGTTCTCAAAGACTATATAGAGATTGTAATGGTTCCATTTAGTAAATCTGTGGTGAGTATATGACATGTTTTATAACTAAAATCTATAGTTGGAGGTTAAAACTGCGGAGTATTTTTAAATAATGCCACTCGATCAGAATTTTTTTCTCGACATAGAATACCTACAAAATTTCCTTCTTAATTTTCAGTCTGTGAATCACACTCTTCAATTTATTTGCCAACATGGACCGGAGGAGTGCAAGGGCAATCGCCAGCAGTTGTGTGTGATGAACCAGAGCTATGACCATGTAGTCCAAACAAAATTCGTCTTGTGTCAGATGGGTCAGAAAAATATAACAGATATTGAAGAGGTAAATTGGAAATGATATTCTTTAATAAAAATAGGAATTGTAGGTCTTCATTGGAAAAAAGAAACATTTTTTTTCCTGCTGGGCCTTCCATTTTGCGTCTAATCTTCCAATATATTCTAAAGTTTCTTTCCTATTACTTTTAAAACTGTTTGTAATTTCTAATATCTATTTCCTTGACAGTGTACTAAATCGCTGGGCTTATCGAGTGACATTGATGAATGCATGAACGGTGATGAGGGCAATCATTTGCAGCTGCAAGCCGAGCGCGTAACATTTGTATACCGACCACAATTTTTACCAACAATAATCTATGATGGGGTAAGATATCCTTTCATTTACAAATTTGATTAATTTTATGCTTTAATAAATTTTAAATATTTATTTTTGTATTTTTTTAGGTCTTTAATCCAATATTGCAGAATAATTCACTTAAGGATTTCCTCGGTACGGTGTGTTATGTGTTTCAGTTGCGCGGCGATTTAATACCCTTGTCCAGAGTCTGTAATCAGCCGATAGTTTGTTTGACCTGTTCAATTTTGACGATATGATAAAAAAAAACAAATCTTAATATAAATTAAAACTAAAGTTAACAAATAAAATCGCACAGTTTAAATGGCCATAGAAACATGTTGATGTTAATTGAGAAAAAAGGTGCAGATTAAAAAGAGGACTTTCTTCCGGCAGAAGTCGACAGCCGTAGAAAATCAAAGGGGTTTAGGTTGACTTAGTCCAATTTCAGTCCCAATCTAAACCAGATCAATCTAATGTCCTTTGTTTTTTTTACGAAAATGGCAGTCTCTGAATTATGCCAAAACATTATTTTCTACATCATAAGAACTCAAACTACCGACATTTAGCAAATTTGACAGGAAAATATGACTAAATTGTAAAAAAGAAATATGTAGATATAGCATGTAGTAAAGAATCGTTGATTTGTTTCGCTAGTTATGACAGATAAAAGTATTGAAAATTACCATCTCTTTAAAGATGAGATTTTAAATCGAAATGCTTTAAACAAGGAATTAAAAAGTGAAGATATAAACACCGTTTAAAAAACGGAGCAGATTATTGTTTAAAAATCAAATATTATTGCTGTGATTATCATTTTAAAAAATTGTTTAAAAAATCTACGTTCAGTGGTCTGAAGTTCCTTTAAAAGATTTGTTAAAAAGTCTACGTTTATTGGACAGATGTTCCTCGGAAAAAAAAAACAACTTAAAAAGCAGTAAGTTCGACCGGGCCGAACTTTGAATACCCTCCACTTTTTGGAACCAATTTGGAAATTTTCAAAAAATAAAAAAAATCTGTTAAAATTTTAAAAATACCAAATATAGCCGTCTATTGGGGTCTATTCGACGTGGACCTACATAGTCATGGTTTGTCATAAGTCATTACCATATTCAAATAAACAGTGAATAATGTTGCTAAAATCGTCAAAATATCGCATATAGGGAGGTCCCGTTATATCGAAGCTGTGCGAAGACCTGCATAGACAATAATCTGTCACAGGCTGTAGCATCCATTACGAACTTCAAATACCACATCTCACACAATTTCGATGGGTATTGTACCTAAAATCGTCAAAATACCGAATATAGGGAGGTACCGTTATAAGGGGGCTATACGAAGACGTGAACCTGCACAGACAATTTTCTGTATTAGGGTGTAGTATCCATTTCGAACTTCAAATACCAAATTTGAAACAATTCCGGTGAATAATGTCGCTAAAATCATCAAAATAGCGAATATCGGGATGTACCGTTACATCGGAGCTATATGAAAACGTGGACCTAAATGGCCCATTTACGAACTTAACCTGCCTACTGGAAAAATAAAGATGTGTGCAAAATTTTAGCCATATATCTTAATTAATTTGAAAGATAGCGTGATTACAACAGACAGACAGACGGACGGACAGACAGACAGACAGACGGACATCGCTAATTCGACTTAGAATTTTACGCTGATGAAGAATATTTGGGTCTGACATGAGTATTTCGAGGAGTTACAAACGGAATGACAAAGTTAATATACCCTCCATAGTATGGTGGAGGGTATAAAAATTATGAAACCAGCTTTTATTATTTTTTTTTTAAATTCACGTTAAGTGGTCTGAAGGTCCTTTAAAAAAATTGTTTAAAAAATCAGAGTTTAGTGGTCTGAAGGTCCTTTCAAAAAATTCTTTAAAAATCAACGACTATTCCTTGAATGGTCCTTTGAAAAAATCTTATTATATTTTTTGAGTTTTTCCCTCAAAAAATTCTTTAGAAAATCCAGTTTTATTGGGCAGATGATCGATCCCTTGAAAAAATTCTGTCCGATGGGATATCCTTATAACAGATCTTGTATTAAGCGAAATATTGATATGCGCCATGTCTGGATGGAATCGGATGTTAATTTCGGGTTTTATGGGCTTCATGGATATTCAAAATTTTGATCTTTTGTGGGGGAGGTAGCAGAAAAAGTGGACCTATATATACCATGTATATAGCAGATCTTGTGTTAGTAAAAATAATGGGATGTATGAAATACGCTTTGATTATTAAAAATTTTGACCCTTTGTGGGGGATGTACCAGAACGAATGGTCCGATATCTAACATCTTTATAACAGATCTTGCGTTGAGAGAAATATCGAGATGTGCCAAGTCCGAATGGAATCAGAAGTTAATTTTGCGTTTTATCATCTTCATGAATATTTAAAAATTTGACCTTTTATGAGGATAAGTACCAGAAGGTGTGGACCAATATATTCCATCTTCACACCAGATCTTGGGCTGATAAAGATATTGTGATGTGTGTAATTTGAAGACAATCGGACTATTATATCACATTTTATAAGAGTTACAATTATTCACTATTTAGATACTTTGTGGGGGAGGTACTTGATGGCGTGGACCGACATTGTCAATTTGTGCACCGGACCTAGCACTCATAAAAATATTAGGATTTACAAAGTTTGAGCAAAATCGTATGTTACTCGTATATGTTATCCCCAATATTTCTTTGCCAAAATCGAACTAAGTCAACCTAGAACCTTTTTCTTCACTTACGAAGAAGCCAGCCGACGACTAAATAAAGTCAAAAAAGCGTTTTATGTATTCTCGCCTTTAAGTCTGCAGGCTTAAGTCATAGGCTGGCTTCTTCGAAAAAAAAAACAAAGAAGCGTAGGACCAAAATCAAACAAAGTCAACCTAAAACTCCTTTGTTTCTCTACGAAGAAGCCAGCTGATGACTTAAGGCTGGAAATACATATACATACATGGCTTAAGTCATCGGCTGGCTTCTTCGGAGATGAACAAAGGAGCCTGGGCCCAAAATCGAACTAAGTCAACCTAAAACTCCTTTGTTCATCTACGAAGAAGCCTGTCGGTGACTTAAGCCAGCCAAATATGCTCTTTATGTATTTCCAGCCTAAGTCTTTCAAAAAAGGCCCTCTATGTACTCTCACCATAGACAAATAAAGGTATAGACTAAAAAGTTTTAAAATTTTCCCTTCCGGCAGATATCACTATTGTTGATCTTGGGCCAGTCAAGTCACTCAGGGCTCGACTTCGAAAACAATTTATTCATTTTTCTGCTATTTAAGTTCTCTATTTTTATATTTCACGACATATTTGGATAATGTAAAAGTAAACAAAGTCGATGTTTCGTTTTTAATTGATAAATAATAAAGAGTCATAAAAATATTAAATATTTTGTATTTTGAGATACTGAACCTCTTTTACAGCATGAACGACGTCTATTGAAGCACTTTTTTCAGAGATAACAGATGAGACAACTTTTTTGTCTATACCATGGTAGAAGAATATAGGTAGACGCGACGACACAGCTGCTGGGACAATGAACTGTCAAATCAATTTTGGAATCGAAAATGAAAATTTAAAAATGTTTGACATATCAATTCTCCTAAGCGTTGATGCATCTACCTGTATTTTTCTACCATGGTCTACACCTAATTTGTCATGCTCTCACCATAAGTTTATTAATATAATATTATTCTCAAGCCATTTTGGAATATTGGATAGTTTCGAAATATTTCAAAGAATGATAGTACAAAAATTACACCCCCCTAAACTTAACTTTCAATTTGTTTGTTGTAATTGTTATTTTTATGTAAATTATTTGCTCTTTTTTCATTTCCACAGAAATTTTATTAAAAAAAATAATTGTTCATCATCTATGACCGTAGGAATACTTATTTGAATTGAATACAGTTTTGAACAATAGAGTTTTGTGTGTGTGTGTTCAAAAATCTTTTCGAAGAAATATTAAATGTTAAATCATGTTACGGAATAATTATATTATAATAATTAGTTAATTATTTTATACAAATAAGTAAGGAAACAGTTTATAGATTTGAAAGATGCACTATTCATATGGAAATACTCTTGAGTTTTGAAATTAAAAAAAAACACTTTTGAAAACAGATATTGTACCCAAATATATTGCTAATTAAAGAAAGAAGATAGAAGGTCAAAGGAAACTTTTAAAAAGGCTCTCCATTCAAAAGGTCTTCATAGGGATGTTTAAAGATACCATATTTCCAAACAAGTTATTTTGCAGGACCTCAGTGAATAGAAGACCTTTAAAAGTCCTCAGTTTATTGAAGGCGTTTACCAAGTCTTCTGTTTATAAAACCCCTAGGAGTGTTTTATAATCGAGCTGAAGCTAGAGACTCTATAATAGACAAGAATAGACCTGGGAGTCTATTAGAGACGATTTAGAGACAGGAAATCTATAGAGGCGAGCTGAAACCGAGTTGTTAATAACATACGAGTGGATTTAGGAGTCTGTTATAGACGAAAGTCTATAAGAGACGAGCTGAAGCCAGTGGGTCTATTTTGGATGAACTGAAGCCAAGGAGTCTATTGAGACTAGGAATATATAATAAAAAAGTTGGAAGAAGATTCTAGTGGATTCCAGAGATTCTATTTTCTACGATATGTACCCTACCTATTACAGGTAAGCTTTGCCTACGGAGTCTTTAAGAGACGAGCTAAATCCAAGAAATTTACTACAGACAATTTATCAATTGGTTATCTTGCAGATGTAGTCCGCTTTAGAATAACTGAAGCCAGGAAGTCTTTTGTAGACTTGTGGTGTCATGGAGTCTATTTTGGGGGAACTGGAATTAGGGAGTCAATTTTAGACTAAATGGGGCCAGTAAGTCTATTTTAGACGAGTTAGAGCTAGGTAGTCTACTATAGACGAGTTGTAGATCAGGGATTCTATAATAGACGACCTGGGGCCAGGAAGTGTTTTATAGATGAGTTGGGGCCAGGAAGTGTTTTATGGCCATGGGGGGGCTTATTTTAGACAAGCAGAGGGTCTATTAAAAGTACACTTAAGCCAGTAATATGTTAGACATGGGCTCAGGGCAGTAAGTCTATTAATGCCATGATTGGTCCATAAAGACTGCTTATCTCCAATATAACCAGGGAATCTATTATAGACGAGCTGAAACCAAGAATTCCACAACAATCGACACCTTCAATGCCATCTGTGTGGACCTTTTAATAATCTGTTGTCAAGAAAATTACTTTCAAAAGATATTTTGTCACTAGAATAACTGTTTATTATATTGTCCAGCCCTGGCTCCACATTGCTTTGTGACTTCTCAAACTAAACTACTTTTTACTGGCAATTGAGAGACTTTATAATAGAAATTATCTTAAATTATGCTAATTTTGGCCTCACATTCTGCAATGTTTACATTTAATTATGCAAAATGGCCTTCAATAGTTTTGTGAATTCAATAAAATCCCCAAAAAAAAAAAAAACAATCAACTAGGCTTACACTCAACGGAGAGCCTTATTTGTTTTCCATTAAAACACTCTCTCATTGCAATGCATGCTGCCAAAAATAACGGCAGAGAAAGAGAGAGTGAGAGTGTGTGTATTCAGGTGGCCTCCTTTATGTTAAACAATGTGACAGAGAAATGAAATTTTGGTCAATAAACAGGTCTCGCAGATCTCCCGCGCCAGCAAAGAGTTGTCAAAACAAACAACGCTGAAGCCAAGCTTGACATAGGCGACGGAGCATAAACGCCAACGACAATCTACGTCCACTGTGTGTGATTAAACGATCGATCACAACAACAACAGCAACAGCAACAAATTAACAACCTTTTTTTGGGGTGTTAAAACCCAACTGGCGTCAGTCAACGGCAGCGATACCTCGTCAGTCGTCAACCAAGCGATCGATGTGGCGACGTTGAATAGTTTTTCTTTTGTTTCTGAATCGAAATCGAAATGTTGGCTTGAATTGAGTGGATCGAGCCGAGTGTTGTGCTGTGGCGTGGCGTGGAGTCCAAACGGTGTACGTTTTCAGAAATCAAATCAGTTGAATGCGGAAAACAGTAATACGAGCACACCAATAAAAATCTTCGGGACTAATTAAAAACGAAAATAAAATTTAGTGACAACTACAACAACAGAAACTCTGATTTAAATTTCCCCCACATTAACCAAAAAAAAAATCCCCTTAACTTCAAATTACAAGTTCGACATAGTCACGAGAATGGCTTTACAGAAATTAAAATTGTCATTGTCTTTGATTTTGGCCCTTGGTGCGTTGGCGGTCTCTTTGAATGCCGGCAGTGCATTAACCCAACAAACGAATGCTGTCAAAGAAAAGGTGATTGGAATAATGAACAGAACAGAACAACTAATAAATATTGAGATTATGTTGGGATCGTCGAAGATAAAGAACAAGAATTTTAAAATAAGTGATTAACAGCATTTAGTTTTTATTGTTTTTATTGGAGGAGAAGTGATTTAATGCGAAGTGGGAAGGGTGGGAGTTGGTGATAATCACGTGTTGTTGGTGGTAAATAAAAACAAAAAGTGTTGATAGGCTCGAAAATGGGTTAGTGACGTCTGCTAGAGAGGAGAAGCTATTGAAGATGTTTTATAGAAGAGCGTAAGCAAGTAAATTTAGACGAGATAAAGTCAGATAGTCTGATTTGGGAGAAATTTAGGTAGAAATTATAATTTAGCTGAGCTGGAGTCAATGGGTGTATTTTAGACGTGCCTGGGCCACGCAGTCTGTTTTAGACGGGAAGAAAAATTCAGTTTATTTTAGAAGAGCTGGAGCCAGGAAATATATTTTTTTTAGGCAATCTAGATATAGGGAGTATGTTATAGATGCGCTAGAGATGACCTGAAACCAAGAGTTTATTATAGACGAGTTTATACCAGAGAGTCTATTTTAGGTAAGTAAAAATAAACTCCTATTTAGAGGGGCTGAAGCGACGAAGTCGATATAGCCATGACGGATGAAGCCATGAAGTCTATTTCAGGCGAGCTAAAGCTGGGAAATTTATTTTCGACGAGTTTGAAGTCATAGAGTCTATTTTGGGCAAGTTGAAGTCTGGGAGTTTATTTTCGACGAGTTTTTTTGTCGGGTAGTCTATTTTATACGGGTTCACGTCAGAACTCTTATTTTAGACCAGTTGGGAAGTCGGGAAGTCTATTTTAGGTGAGCTGGAGCCTGGGAATTTATTTTGAAGTCAGGAAGACTATTTTCGACGAGTTGTAGTCAGGACGTTTATTTTAGTCGAGTTGAAGACATTAATTCTATTTTAAACGAGTTGAAGTCAGGCAATTTATTTTCGACGAGTTGTAGTCAGGAGGTATGTTTTAGACGAGTTGAAGTCAAAGAGTCTACTTTCGACGAGTTGTAGTCAGGAAGTCTATTTTAGTGGAGTGGAAGTCAGGGCGTTTGTTTTAGTCGAGTTGAAGGCAGGGAGTCTCTTCAACGCTAGCTGGAACCAGGGTGTCTTTTAATAGACTATTTGAAGTTAGGGAGTCTTTTGTAGACGAGTCTTTAAGAGTTCAGGGAGTTTTTGAAATGTGAGCTGGAGCCAGGGAGTTTTTTATAGGCGAGATGGAGACAGGGAGTTTTTTATAGACGAGCTGGAGGCTAGGGAGTCTTTTATTGACGAGCTGGAGGCCAGGGAGTCTTTTATAGACGAGCTGGAGCCAAAAAGTTGTATAGACGAGCTGGAGAGGGGGAGTCTTGTATAAACGAGCTGGAGCCAAGGGAGTCTTTTATACACGAGCTGGAGCTAGGGAGTCTTTCATTGACGAGCTGGAGCCAGGGAGTCTTTCATAGACGAGCTGGAGCCAGGGAGTCTTTCATAGACGAGCTGAAGCCAGGGAGTCTTTCATAGACGAGCTGAAGTCAGGGAGTCTTTCATAGACGAGCTGAAGCCTGGGAGTCTTTCATTGACGAGCTGAAGCCAGGGAGTCTTTCATAGACGAGCTTGAGCCAGGCAGTCTTTTATAACCGAGCTTGAGCCAGGCAGTCTTTTATAGACAAGCTGGAGCCAGGCAGTATATTTAGACGAGCTGGTACCAGGGGGTCTATTATAGACGAGCTATAGGCCAGGGGGTCTATTATAGACAAGTTGCAGGCCAGGAGGTATATTATAGACGAGCTGAACTTTCAGGGAGCCTTTTTTAGATGAGGTGGAGGCCAGGGAATTTTTTTTTTGATGAGTTGGAGGCCAGTAGTCTTCTTTTAGAGCAGATGGAGTGCAGTATTCTTTTTTAGAGCAGATAATAAGCAGGTGTTTTTTTTATAGACTAGCTTTATTACACGATCATTTATAGGCGAGCTTGAGTCAGGGAATCCTTTAAAGGCGACCTGGAGTCAGGTAATTTTTTAACGACAAGCTGAAGCCTTTTCTATACGAGCTGGAGGAAGAAGGTCCATCTGACGGGAGCAGAGCTGGAGCCAGAAATTCCGTTTTAGAAGAGCTGATACAAAAAAACTTTTAGACGAACTGGAGGAATAAAGTCAATTTTAGACTAGTTAAAGGAAGCAAATTCATTTTAGACGAGCTAGAGGAAAAAAGTCTATTTCAGACGATTTAGAGGAAACAAGTAAATTTTAGACAAGCTGAAGCTTGAAAATACATTTAGAACGAGCTGGAACGAGCTAAAGGAAGAAAATCCATTTTAGATGACCTGAAGCTAGAAAATCCATTTAGGACGAACTGGAGGCAGAAAATGGATTTTAGACGAGCTGGAGGCATGAAAGTTCGATTTAGAAGAGCTTTTACAAAGAAGTTCCTTCTAGACGAGCTAAAAACAGAAAGCTCATTTATATGGTCCGGAGTCTGGAGCCAAGAGTCTATTAACGATGAATTGAAAAGGGATTTCCTTAACTAGAGACATAAAATAGGGACTGAAATTCCTTCCCAAAGTCTAATTATTGGTCTCCCAGAACCTGTACGAATCTACTAGTTTTGAAATTTTCTCAGATATCGTAAAGAGAAAACTGGTTATCGTAGTAAAAACTTTTACATTCATGCTGTTCTGGAGCAGACTCTATCCTTTACCACAATTTATTATTCCAAAATTTCATTTCCCCTCTTTTAGTTGAAAGTAATGGTTCTCTATGAGTCATTGTGTCCGGATAGTATACGTTTTATTGGCTCACAATTGGGCCCCAACTATGATGGTCTAAAGGATTATATCGACATAACGTTGGTGCCATTCGGTAAATCAAAGGTGAGTGAAGCTTACGAATTTCCTTTTAATGCATTTCTTATATAATTGATTCTCTTTCTCTGACTTACCCTTCCAGTCAATCAACAATAATGGCCTCGTTCAATTCTTCTGCCAACATGGACCTAAAGAATGCGAAGGTAATCGCCAACAGCTATGCGTTCTGCAACAAACCACGGATCAGGCAACACAGGTCAACTTTGTCGTTTGTCAAATGAGAAAGCGTGATGTGACGGATATTCGAGAGGTAAGTGTACACAAGGAGGGATTTCTGCCAGCGAGAAAAATGAGAAGAAAAAACCAGTAAGGAAGGGTCAGGTGGGGTCGACTATATGATACCCTACACCACTATGCGTATTTAGTATATGCGTGTATAGCATATTGGAAATTTATGTGAAGTAGATCATACCAACTATGAACCAAATAACATCGCAGTGCATGATATGACTTCGATAAGGATTATATTAAAGAATATTTAGCGGAGCAATAGATATACCTGACCGAGTTTCACCAAATGGTAAAATTTGATTGAACATGAAAGAATCTATTCAATTTGGGCAGATATTACATGGTGAGCAATAACAGTACAATCGGAAGGAGATGTATGTCGAAGCTATATAAAGACTTAAACCGATCTCCATAAAATTTGGCAGAGGCATTTTCGAGCTATATCTGAACCGGTTTTCAATAAAATTTGAAGCACTTCCTTTTTGGCTGAATTCCGTCGGAAGCCCCACAATTCAGTCCATTTGGGCTGATATTAGCCATTTGGTGCACATATCGGTTAGAGATTTATGTGGGAGCCATGTCCTAATCTGATCCGATTTTGATAAAATTTGGCAGAGGTATTTTTGAGCTCCATAAGTTATCTGATATGTGAGGGAATAAAAACCCCCAACCAGATGAAACACATATATTGGAGCTATAGCTATATTTGAACCGATTTTCACCAAATTTGAAGTACTTGCTTCTATAATGAATTCAGTCGGAATTGCCTAAATTGTTCATTTGGGCTGATATTAGCCATTTGGTGCACAATTAACCTGAAATCGGTTGAAGATATATATCTATGGGAGCTACATTTTAATTTGAACCGATTCTCACCAATTTCAATAGGGTTCGACTTTGAATAGAAAAAAATGCAACAAAGTCAAACGCCATAATTTTTACATTTCTTTTTTAATTTTTTTTTTAAAGGAGAGCAAAAAATGTCGGAAATAGCATCAAATTTTAGAATAAATTTAGATTTTTTTAAACTGGTCACTTTGGTACGAATTATGACCTTCAAACGGCCAATGAAACCGTCATACTCTGCCCGAATGTTGCTCTGCGGTATTTTGGTCCATTCCCGGCGAAGCGCTTGCTTGAGGTGATCGACACTTCGATCTTTTTCAGTGCCAACCCTGCTTGGTGGCCATTGTGCGCTGGGAATGAAGCGAGGAACCTCATTTTGTAACCATTCTTGGGTGGCGAGTGCTGAGTGCGATGGTGCTGAGTCCTATTGGAATATCCAAGATCTGCGGCCAAAATGTTTGCGTGCACAAGGCTTTAATACACCCTCCAGGATATTTTCGCGATAATATTCGGCATTTATTCTCATAACACGGCCGATTAATATCAGCGGCCATCACCATGGCCGGCGCTTGAGTTCTGGTGGCCAACCGAAGGTACACATTTTCTGCTGACCTCTTTGGCAAGTAAACACGATCATTTTGTTGTTTACAAACTGATAGACAAGGAATGTTTTCTCCTCGGAGAAAAAAATTATTAAAAAAAGGAATCTCCGAATTGAAAGGACATAAACAAATTATTTGAAAAATCCACGTCTTAATATGTCTTTGAAAAAATTATTTGAAGAATCCACGCCTTAATATGTCTTTGAAAAAATTATTTAAAAATCTTACGTCTTAGAGGGTTCTTGAATAAAATTATTTGAAAAATCCACGCCTTAAAATTTCGTTGAAAAAATTATTTGAAAAATCCACGCCTTAAAATGTCGTTGAAAAAATTATTTGAAAAATCCACGCCTTAAAATGTCGTTGAAAAAATTATTTGAAAAATCCACGCCTTAAAATGTCGTTGAAAAAATTATTTGAAAAATCCACGCCTTAAAATTTCGTTGAAAAAATTATTTGAAAAATTAACGCCTTAAAATATCTTTGAAAAAATTATTTGAAAAATCCACGCCTTAAAATTTCGTTAAAAAAATTATTTGAAAAATCCACGCCTTAAAATTTCGTTGAAAAAAATTATTTGAAAAATCCACGCCTTAAAATTTCGTTGAAAAAATTATTTGAAAAATTAACGCCTTAAAATATCTTTGAAAAAATTATTTGAAAAATCCACGACTAAAAATTTCGTTAAAAAAATTATTTGAAAAATCCACGCCTTAAAATTTCGTTGAAAAAAATTATTTGAAAAATCCACGCCTTAAAATTTCGTTTGAAAAAAATTATTTGAAAAATCCACGCCTTAAAATTTCTTTGAAAAAAAAGTATTTGAAAAATTAAATTTTTAATTTTGTAGAAAAAAATTATTTGAAAAATCCACGCCTTAAAATTTCTTTGTAAAAAAAGTATTTGAAAAATTAAATTTTTTATTTTGTAGAAAAAAATTATTTGAAAAATCCACGCCTTAAAATTTCTTTGAAAAAAAAGTATTTGAAAAATTAAATTTTTAATTTTGTAGAAAAAAATTATTTGAAAAATCCACGCCTTAAAGGGTCCTTGAAAAAAAATATTTAAAAAATCCCGAATTTAAAGGACTTTGAAAATTATAAAAAAAATATTTGAAAAATCCACGCCTTAAAGGGTCCTTGAAAAAAAAAATATTTAAATAATCCCGAATTCAAAAGACTTTGAAAATTATAAAAAAATATTTGAAAAATCCACGCCTTAAAAGCCCTTGAAAAAAATTATTTGAAAAATTCACGAATTCAAAGACTTTGAAAAAATCATTAACAAAATTATTTGAAGAATTCACGCCATCAGAGGTCCTTGAAAAAAATATTAAAAAAAAATTATTTCAAAAATCCCCGAATTTCATAATTTCATAATTGATGGAATGCGGAATTCTAATATTTCTACTGAGGTGCTTGGAAATAAATATTTAAAAAAATCCACAAATTTAAAGGTCATTGAAAACAATTATTTAAATAGCATACCCGAATTTGAGGTACCTTGAAAAAAATTTAAAATTTAAAATCAGCGCATTAAAAGGTGCTTGAAAAAAATTATTAAAAAAAATCCCAAAATTTAAAGGTCCTTGAAAAAAATATATATAAAAAAATGCACGTCTTAAAAGGTCGCTGAAAAAAATATTCGAAAAATTCATACCTTTAAAGGTCATTGAAAAATATTATTTAAAAAATCCCCGAATTAAAGACACGTGAAAAGAAATATTTAATAAATCAATGCCTTCAAAAGGTCCTTAAATATGGGATATATCGATCTACTCCTTCCCCACAAAATTTTGAATCAACGATTCTTTTCAAACGTGGAAGTTCTTAATATTTCTCTCAACCAGATCTCTGCTGTAAATTATGTTATATCGAATTTATCGCTCCATTACTTCTGGTACATACCTTTCCTAAAAATACCTTCACTTTCCCTTTTTCTAGTGTGCCGAATCACTGGGCCTATCCAGTGACATTGATGCGTGCATGCACAACGGTCTGGGTACCACATTGCAACTGGAAGCGGAGCGAGTCACATTCCTATTCAAGCCACAATTCGTGCCGACCATAGTCTACGATGGTGTAAGTATTACATAATTGCAGCAACATAATTTCCGAATTGTAAATATGTAACTGCATGTCCTCTCTCCCCCTTCTCTTTTTCGGTGAACAGGTTTTCGATCAGCAATTGCAGGACAATTCGTTGCGTGACTTCCGTGGCACCGTGTGTTATCTGTTGCAACGACGTGGTGATATTTCTTTTCATTCGGAGGTCTGTCAATAGGAGACGGAGAGGCGACGACAACGCTTGGTTGACAGTTGCAAGTGAGAGAAGAAGAAACAAAACAAAAACGAAACCCCAGCGACCAAAATTTATTTTATGACAAAAGTTAAGTTTTTTTTTTAGAAAAAAAAAAAAAAATTAACCAAAATTTATTGAAACACTGCAATAAACTACATCAACAGTTCCAATATGGCAACAAAATGTGGGTCAATATGAAAACGTTTTTTTTATGGTTATTTGATTTCGTTGTTGTTGCAGGTTTTCTTGTTTGTTGTTGTTTTTCTTTTTTACTTTGGATATGGTTCATGAATACTGTTTTTCGTTTTGAATGCAATTTTGGTGCAGTCGAAGAGTTTTGTTGAGCGTTGTGGAGCTATTGTTGCTGTTGTTGTTGTTGTTGTCAATAAACCGCATTTATTGACAAAATAATAATAACTGGAATTTTGTTGAAATTTTAATTTTTCTAAAGGCATGCGTGTCGCTGTTTGTTGTCACAGTAGGGTTTCGAAGTGAGTGAGGGAGATTTGGGTTGTGATTTTTAGAAAAAATCAAAAATGTTTGGATGATGGAATGACACATTTTTTTTTGGCGAATTATAAGCTGTAATCATGGATAATTCAACGATTATGTTTTCAATTGGATTTTTATTAAATTAAAAGGTAGTCATTTCAATAAGCATTCCCATCTCTGCATTTTCTGTAATTTATCCTGTCAAATTTTTCTGCATAGAAAACAGGTATCTATCAGGTATTTATTTAGGTATTTGCACCCTGATTGCGGAAAAGTATTTTTTTCTTGGGGGACGGACCCGGATATTCGTATATTTAACCTGAAAGTTTTTTAACCGGACTTGTCCGAGTTCAAAAGAACCAAATCCAAGAAAGATAATAACAAATATTGTAACATTTTGGAAAGGTTTTTGTGTCAGCTATAATTTGGCATCGATTTTATGGACTCCCAGAACAGGGCCTTTTTGGCTTTTAAGATTTTTTTTAAAAAATCCGGATCCAAAAAATTGAAAATTATTTTGATACAACTCTGGAACCGTCACACATCATGTGAACATTTGCTTGATAGGTAGTTTCATTAACTTTAAAATGATTCATATATTTTCCAAATCGGTTTTGTAGGTCCAGGTGTAACCCGGGTCTTGGACCCGGATTTTTGGGTCAAATATCCGGTTATCCGGGTCCGTTCCCCAAGAAAAAAATACTTTTCCGGTATCAGGATAAAAAAAATATTCATTTGACATGTCATTTTCAAAATTTATTTTTAGAATTCAATATATACACACAAATCAGAGATGGGAACCTGTTTTCTATGCCGTGTATCTGACAAGTTAAATTACAGGAATGAGAGAGCTTGGAATGCTTATTTGAAATGACTTTACCTCTTAATTTTACCATGACTAGAGTTTTTCCGTGTTTTTTAATATATTTACCTGAAATTTGAAAATATTTTTCAATAGACTGTTTTTCAATCAGCTGATGCAGAGGTATAGCATCCATATAACTGCATATGTTTATTGAAAAAAATCCCTCAACAGTTTATGACCTAGGGAACTAATATTCGTTCGTAAAAAGCTGGTTTCGGGCCAAAATGGAAACCACGAATGTTGGACTCGATTTCACCAAAGCCTTTGACAGACGTGACTTCGTATACAATATGTAGTCGGCGGGTTTTGATGCACAAACTTGAAATTTTCTGCATTTTTTAGAGCTAGAAATTTTTATTCTTGGGGACGGAATCGGGTTTCCAGATATTTCCCCCAGAAAATCCGCTTCCGTTGCAATATGAATATGTCGGGATAACTCCAGTTAATTAATTTTAATTTTTTTTTTAAATATTTTTTGGGACGGAACCGAGTTTTCTGATATTCTTTTCTTTTTTTACCCTCAGCCATATGACTACAGAGGCTATATATTATTTAGACCCTGGGTCTCTTTAGACCCATTTCGTTTCAGGACATTTGGAGTCTGTCTGGCTGGTGCGCACGATAACTCTCGAAGGGAATATCCGGTTCGGTGATGTAAGAGTCCGATTATCTTCAAATTACACGCATCAAATTACACCCAAGGTGTGGTCTGAAGATGGAATATTGCGATCCACTCCTTCTAGTACCTCCCTCACAAAGAGTCATAAAAAGCGAAATCGGCTGGGCCAAACTTTTAATACCCTCCACCTTAGGGTAAAAGAAACATTAGAAGAAATGTGGCAAAAACCATTAAAATGCCTAATATCGGGAGGCACCGTTATATGGGGGCTACACCAAAACGTGGACCTATAATTACAATGATTCGCCTCACGAACTAGGACCCATTATGACCCAAAAATACCAATTTTTAGACAAATCAGTGAAAAAAATGTGGCCGTTATATGGGGGCTATATCAAATCATGGACCCATGCATGCAATGTTTCGCCACCGAAGCTGGAACCCATTATGACCAACAAATACCAATTTTCAGACAAATCCGTGACATAAATGTGGCATAAATAATCAAAATACCGAATATCGGGAGGTACCGTTATATGGGGGCTATACCAAAACGTGGACCTATAATTCAATGTTTTGCCACACGCTCAGGGACCCATTATGACCCACAAACACCAATTTTTAGACAAATCAGTGAAAAAATGTGGCAAAAACCATCAAAATACCGAATATCGGGAGGTACCGTTATATGGGGGCTATACCAAATCATGGACCCATACATGCAATGTTTCACCACCGGAGCTGGAAACCATTATGACCCACATATACCAATTTTTAGACAAATCCGTGAAAAAATGTGGCAAAAAAAAACTAAAATACCGAATATCGGGAGGTACCTTAATATGGGGGCTATACCACAACGTGGACCTATACATGCAATGTTTTGCCACACGCTCAGGGACCCGTTATGACCTACAAATACCAATTTTCAGACAAATCCGTGAAAAAATGTGGCATAAATCATCAAAATACCGAATATCGGGAGGTACCGTTATATGGGGACTATACCAGAACGTGGACCGATATATGTCATTTTCAATACCAACCATTCTAGACACAATGCAAATAGCTCTGCTAAATTTTGGCGCTCTACGTCAAATAATGTGGGCTGTATCGTGATTTTAACAGACAGACAGACAGACAGACGGACGTCGTTAAATCGACTTTGAATTTTCTGCTGACGAATATTTAAGGATGTAACAAACGGAATGACAAAGTTAATATACCCTCCTTTCCAAGGTGGAGGGTATAAAAATAATAATAATCCGAAAATTTTAACTAAACTAGATTTTTTCCTGTTTTTATGTCATCCGTCGTTCTATGGAGGGTATATTAGCTTTGATTTTAGCGACATTATTCCCCCGAATTTCGTATTCGAGGTTTATAATGGGTACTGCATGCCTAAAACATTTGTATACAGGTCCACTTCTTCGTATAACCAGCATATAACGGTAAATCCTCTTATAATTATTTTGATGATTTGAGCGATATTCTTCACTGGAATTGTTTTAAATTTCATATTTTTGAAAATTTCCAAGTTCCTTCCAAATGGTGGAGGGTATTAAAAGTTCGGACTAAGCGGTTTTTTTTTACTTTGTAACAGACTTTGTGCTGATGGAAAAATTGAGATGCATCAAGTCTGAATGGAATCGGACGCTATTTTCGCGTTTTATGAGCTTCATGGATACTCAAAATGTTGACCCTTTGTTGGGGGAGGTACCAGAAGGAGTGGACAGATATATTTCCCATCTTCACACCAAACCTTGGGATAGTAAAAATATTGTGATGTGTGTAAGTTGAAGAGAAGCGGATGCCTCTTCCGGATTTAATGATCGTTTTGGTTATTCAAAATTTTAAACCTTTTTGGGGGAGCTACCAGAAGGAGTGGACCGATATATTTCATATTCACACCAGACCTCGGGTTAATAAAAAATATTATGATGTGTGTAATTTGAAGACAATCGGACATTTTATAACAGGTATAATTATTCAAAATGTTGACCCTTTGTGGGGAGGTAGCGGATGAAGTGGATCGATATTGTCCATTTTCGCACTTGATCTAGCACTGATGCAAATATTAGGATTTGCAAAGCTGGAGAAAAAAAAAACGGATTATCCTTCCTCTTTCTGTGCAGTAAATTATTTTCTTTGAGGTGGAGGTACCAGAAGGACCAAGGACCAATCTCCGTACTCGATCTAAGTTTGACAATAATATTACGATGTATCAAGTGTAAATCAAATCGGATACTCCCTTCGAGAGTTATCGTGCGACAAACAGACATCGCTAGATCGACTCCAAATGTCCTGAAACGGATTTGGTCCACAGAGACCTAGGGTCTAAAACCGTTGTCTCGATGAGGCACGTTTTGGGCGTATCAAATGATACGCCATGTGGCTAAGGGTATAATAATCCTATAGAAGAATCAAAGTTTTTCATTTTTTTAATTACAGCCAAAAAACATTGGAAGTTTACTTTTGCGCCACCTTGTATTTACATCCTATGACATGTCTAAGTTGTTTTCTAAGTAGTTATTGGGGCCAAAGCGTACTTAGTGAACTTATTATTTTGTTACGAGCATTTTTGCTCGGTAGCAGTTCTAATTCCAATGTCTAAAGTTGATTCTTCCCTGAGGAAAGGCTAAGAGCAGACGGGTTAACAATTCAAAGAAGATATTGAGAACCAGTAAAGAAAGTCCTAAAGTCGGACGGGGCCGACTTTATGATACCCCACACCACTTCGATAATTTAGTAGAGCTCCACATAACAATCAAAAGTTTTTATGGGAGTATTCAAAGGATAAATATGCCGAAGCATTTGTATCTTTTAAATTCGGACTTGTATTGTCCATTTGAGGTATATGAGAGCTATATCCAAATCTGAACCGATATTGATAAAACTTGGCAAAGATATTTTTGAGCTGTATTTCATACATTTCCCTGAATATCGTTGTTACGGGGTGCATATTACTGCTGCGGAGGACAAAAATAGAAAATCGGATGAACAATATATATGGGAGCTATAGCTATATATAAACCGATATTCACCAAATTTGACATACTTGCTTTGCACTTCGGTCGTAAGTGCCGAATTCCATCCCATTTGGGCAAATATTAGACGTTTGGTGCACAATAAAAGGTAAATCGGACGAAGTTATGTATATATGGGAGCTATATCTAAATCTGAACCGATCTCGATAAAATTGAGCAAACGTATTTCTGAGCTGTATTTGATATATTTCCCCAAATATTGTTGTTACAGGGTGCATATTACTGCTGCGGAGGACAAAAATAGAAAATCGGATGAACAATATATATGGGAGCTATAGCTATATCTGAACCGATTTCTATCAAATTTGGCATATTTATTTTCAGGCCTAATTTGGTTGTATGTGCAAAATTCCATACTATTCGGGCTGAAATTAAACGTTTGGTGCACAATAAAAGGCAAATCGGACGAAGAAATATGTGGGAGCTATATCTAAATTTTTACCGATTATCTTCAATTTCAATAGGGTTCGTCCTTGGGCCAAACAAATGATTTGTGCAAAATTTCATCTGGATCGGGTAATAAATGCGAACTGTACTTTGTTTACAAAAATACATGGACAGACGGACGGAAGGACATGCACAAATCGACTCAGAATGTGATTCTATGCAGATCATCAAAAGGAACTATAGTCTATCTCGCTTCATTTTACATGTTGCAAACAAATGCACAAATACATAATACCCAGGCCACCTTGTTGTGTAGGGTATAAACATTTATTCCAAAAGATGAATTTAATTTTTTCAATTAATCTCCGTTTTTTTTTTTTGTGATTTAACCCCTCTATGCGTGGTGCACTTCTATGCCTATGAGTCGTAACAAATACAAAAGCAATTTCGTTTTTCTTTTAAATCTGAATATTCATCTTTATTGATTTTACTTCACAATTTTTCGAAAAAGAAAATTAGAACTTAAAATTAAATAAAATCATAAAAATACGTATATTTAATTTATTTATATGTATGTGTATATGTATAAATCGGATAGTCAATTTTTGTATACATTATTAAATTCATGTTTCATTTTCATTTTTTGTAAAATACTACTAATACAGCAAGCAAAGATAATGAATTTTGGGAGAGATAAAAAATGAATGAATTGAAAAAAAAAAATGAATTTGAAAAAAATATTTTGTTTTGAGGAAAATTAATATATATAAAAATGGTACTTAAATTAAAATAAAATATGAAATGTGAAAAAAGAGGAAATAATGAAAAACAAACATAATGAAATGATTGAAATCTTAAAATTACAAAGACATTACAGTTATTGTTGATAATAAAAATTATAATGATAATTATAATAATAAAAAACAAACAGAAACCAACAATATTTATTTTTGTTACATGTTACAGGTTTTTTTTTTTTTTTTTAAATAATTCTATGTATATAAAAGATATATTGTTGTGTTTTCTAATATTATTATAATAAAAAATAATAATAATATTTTTGCATATATGTATATCTGTGTATGATAGCAAGCAAGTGTATAATTTTTCTAATGAATATACAAAAACAAACACTTTAATATTATTAAAATATTGAATTATTAAAATATATGCATTTTTTCAATTTTACAATTATAACAAAAAGTTTATTGTTTTAAAACTAATATTGAAACAAACAACATTTTTGTATTTAAAAAAATATCTATTTGTGTGTGTATGTATGTCATAATTAAAGCACATGGGGTAAGTTCGTTTGTTTGTGTTTTTTTTAAATATTTAAAATTGATTATTGAAACAAAAACAACATGATTGATGAAAAGCTATTTGTAATTTGTAACATTTCATTTTTTGTCTAGCAGCAGGATTCTATGGGATATTAAGGGCCTGTTTTTCCATGAAGAATGTGAAAGAAGAACGCCATTCCAAATGTGGGTTTTTCAAAATTTTTGATTTCAATTTAAGAAAAAAATTAAAAATTCTGAAATACTTTTTTGAAAGGGTGTTTTTATTTTCCATTCTTATTCGTCTTTCAACTTAAGTTGTTAAGTTGTCTTTCTCAGTCGAGTCCGTCAAGTCTCTCTATTAAGGGCCTGTTTTCCATGAAGAATGCGAAAGAAGAATACAAATTTTCATTTTTTTTTGATTTCAATTTTAGAAAAAAAAGTTCTGAAAAAACTTATTTGAAAAGGAGTTTTTCCTTCCATTTTTTTAGTTCGTACAGTCATACAAAAACAGGCTCTAAGGAGAGAGTCCGTCAAGTCTCCCTGTTTTTCCATGGCGAATGTGAACAAAAAATACGATTCCAAATGTGTATTTCAAAATTTTGATTTCAATTTTAGAAAAAAGTTTTAAAAAACTTATTTGAAAATGTGTTTTTCGTTCCCATTCTCATTTGTATGGTCATACTAGAAAACAGGGTCTAAGGAGAGAGTTCGTCAAGTCTGTCCAATAAGGGTATGTTTTTATATGACGTATTCGAAAGAAGAACACAATTCCAAATGTGTATTTCAGATTTCGGATTTCAATTTTAGAAAAAAGTTCTGTAAAACTTATTTGAAAGGGCGTTTTTTCCATTCTCATTTGTATGGTCATACTAAAAAAACAGGCCCTAAATAGAGAATCCGTCAAGTCTCTCTATTAAGGGTCTGGTTTTCCATGGCGAATGTGAACAAAAAATACGATTCCAAATTTCAAATCTTTGATTTAAATTTAAGAAAAAAATCTGAAATATTTATTTGAAAGCACGTTTTTCTTTCCCATTCTCATTTGTATGGTCATACAAAATCAGGCCCTAAGAAGAGAGTCCGTCAAGTTTCGCTATTAAGGGCCTATTTTTCCATGACGAACGTGAACGAAAAACACAATTCTAAATGTGGGTTTCAAAATTTTTGATTTCAATTTTAGAAAAAAAAATGTTCTGAAAAACTTATTTGAAAGGTTGATTTTCTTTCCCATCCTCATTCGCATGGTATACAAAAACCGGTCCTAAGTAGACAGTTTTTCTATTAAGGGCCTGTTTTTCCATGACGAATGCGAAAGGAGAACACAATTCCAAATGTTTTTTTTTAATTTTTGATTTCAATTTTAGAAAAAAAAATCTGAAATATTTATTTGAAAGGTTGTTTTTCTTTCCCATTCTTATTCCTATGGTCATAAAAAACAGACCCTAAATAGAGAGTCCGTCAAGTATATCCTGTAAAAGCCTGTTTTTCTATAAGGAATGCGAAAGAAGAACACAATTCCAAATGTGTATTTCGAAATTTTGATTTCAATTTTAGAAAATAAATAAAATTCTGAAATACTTTTTTGAAAGGGTGTTTTTTATATTGTCCTACAAAAACAGACCCTAAATAGAGAATCCGTCAAGTCTCTCCATTAGCGGCCTGTTTTTCTATGACCAATGCGAACGAAATACAAGATTCCAAAGGTGTATTTCAAATTTCGGATTTCAATATTAGAAAAAAAGTGTTCTGAAAAACTTATTTGAAAGGGTGTTTTTCTTTCGCATTCACTTTCAAAAACAGGCCTTAAATAGAGAGTTCGCCAAGTCCTCCAAATTATTTAAAACGAAAAATGGATTTGATTTCAGTTTCTTTACTCCACCCTGAAATCCTTTCTCTTTGGAAGCCTGAAGGACATACTCTATTCAAAACGGCCCTAAAAAATATACCCTTTTTTACATTTCATACAAACTTCGCAGGTATATATATGTTCGCATGAATTTTATACCGAAGTACTATTACTGCTACAATGGGTGACACTGATAAATCTGCGGGGCATTGGTTTTGGTGGTATCTGAGGCTTGGTTGGTAATTGTGGCTTTGGTTGCTGTGTTGCTTCCGCTTTCGTTTTATTTCCCTTATCCCTTTCCTGATACTCAACATAGCCGGACTCATCACTGCATTCCGAATCGGAATCCGGTTTGGTATCCCTTTGGCGTCGAGTTCTTCTTGGGCGATTCGAGGATGTCGTCGATGTCAAAGAATTGGTTTGTTTTAACGAATTTGGATTAGTTTCGATGACGCTGACCAAATCTTTAATGGAATTATTTGGTGATGAATCCATTTTAAGGGTTATCGAAGAGGAGCTACTAAATGTTGTGGCCGCATCGCTATTGCTACGTCCCTGTAATTGCTTATACAGATCATTATTGTCTGCAATGATTTCCGATTCCAGGGATGTGGCCTCGGCCAAATCATCTGCCGTGTAGGGATGTTGTAGCGATGAGGAAATCTGCTGCAACTGGGATTGACGAAACTGCAGCGATAGATCATCTTGATTGTTGGTCACTGTGCTGGCGGTTTCACAACCACTCGATATGGAACCCTCATCAGCACTGTCATTGCTTATAAGCCTCTTGCTGCCCACCAAATCATTGCCGGCCATTTGTTGGCCCAACGATGAGGCCGTGGAGGTATCCGAGGAAATGGATGACTGCTGTTGATGTTTGTAGCGCATCGAGGAGGAAGAGTCTCTGGCTCCGGAGTGGGTCTCCAAACTACTGCTGCCCTCATCACTGCTCAGAGATAAATTGGCCATTTTACGCATGGAGTGGCGATGCAACATATTCAAAATGGCTGCCTGGCGGAAATACATATCCTCCTCCTCTTCACCCAGGAAATCATCCTCACCATCACTGCAAACCCCAGAGCGTCTCAACGAAACTCCCGGTGATGAGGTGGCCTCATATTGTGTTTGGTTATTAAGTTTGAAATCATTGATGGGATCAGCATTGGGATCCACATTTATGGTTGGTGTCAAACTCAATGGCTCACCATCCTCCTCCTCGGGACCGCATCTCAGATCACTTAGACTACCACAGCTACTGCTGTTCTTCTTGTGTAATTGACTCTCGAAATAGGGCATCAATTCATTGGCCAATGAGGCCTTGCTGTCATAGTTATTGTGCTGCAGGATCTTTTCAAAATCATCCGAGTCATCGGAGCCCTCAGCATTGAGGCGGCACTCTTCCTCTTGTATGGGTTTGATTTCAGTTTCTTTGTTCTCATTTGGTTTGGTTGTTTGGATTTCGGCATTGCAACATTGTTGACCCGTACAGCTGCTTGCCAGATCTCCGGTGGCATAACTAACGGGTCGGGCCTTGCCAGTTCTCCTAATGGAATGGCCACGACGACAACGTCGTCGACCCAATGTCATGGCTGGATAGAGAGAATCTTTTTGACAGCATGGTTTCATTTCCGGCTCATTGGTCTCCTCAGCCTCTTCACCCTCCTCACCAATGGCCTCTTCTATGGCCATTAATTTGGGTGCCGATTTGGAGCGCTCCAGCGGAGGCCGATAATTGTTGCTGCCCACACTCAAGAGAATTTTGCGACGCGGCAAACTGGGATTATCGTAGACAGCATTTGCCAAACTGAGACGGGCATTCTGTTTGAGAATTTTTTCACGTTTAAATTCACGCAGAGCACACTCGAGATTAGCCTGGAAGGGGGAAAAAAGGAAACACATTTATAAATCAAATCAAAATTCCAAATAGAGTTCGGTCTTACCTTTAAAGTATCACAGATTTCTTGCACTTGCTTCTCCTTGCTGCACAACACCGCATGGCATCGCAGTTCATGTTTCAGCTTCCTGCCCTCATGGCGATAGATCCAACAGAACACCCGCGGATAGTTCTTTGGTGCACAGCAATGTGTTATGCGATTGGCCCAGTATTCCGTTAGTCCGTGTTGTCTTGTGGTGGCTTTCAGGCCGGAGGCACATACTTTCAGGCGCATTATAACATCGGGTTTATTGTTTTGCGTATAATTGCGCCAGAGTGTGTTCAGCTGTTTTTCCACGCAGCCCTCACCTGGAAAATGAAAATAAAAAATTAGAATATTGAAGCTCTGCTAAACTTATTTACTTAATTTCTTCATTTCCCTTTTTTTTTGGACCAAATATCAACATTAAAATAAAACCCCCAAAATTGGAAATTTTCCAAAATTTTTGGGTAATTAACTTCGATGGGTCATAACTCTTCAAATGTTTGGTCCAACAAATTTAAATTCTCAAATTAGGACGAGAGATATGTTATCCTTAAATCAGTGAATATTAAGGGCTGTAGCTGCTCAAATGCCAAAGATATCGACCAACTTTAAAGAAGTTTTTTGATCTATAAATAATTAAATGTTTGCGTAAGCTTATTCCGGAATCTATGACTTCTATAATATTAAAGATACTAGAATAATTTTTTATTATATTCAAAGAAGAACATCTTTATCTAAGACTGAGCAATTTTTAGAGACATAGCTCATTCAATTCTAAAGATATCGGCCAATATGTACATTTTCTCTATTATGCCATTTTTGGACAAATTTTGCGTTATCTGCTTCTAGGAGCTATAACTTCGAAAGTATTGATTGCATATTAATAAAAAATACAATATTTTGTAACAGCAATGTCTTATCTCAAAGTCTGTGCTTGATTTACAAACATAGCTAATCAAATACCAGAGATATTGGCCAATATTTACATTTTCTCTATTATGCCATTTTTGGAAAAATTTTGCGTTATCTTCTGTTAGGGGCTATAACTTCAAAAGTGTTGATTTTATATTCATGACAAAGATGAAATTTTGTAAGAAACATCTCTTATCTCAAATTCTGTGCTTGTTTTATAAACATAGCTGATCAAATACCAGAGATATCGGACAAATTATCAAATATCCCATTTTTCATATTTTTCAAATATTTTTGCGTTATCTACTTTTAGGCGCTGTAACTTCAAAAATAATGACTATACAGTAACAAAAAAGGTAAGATTTTTAAAGCTTAATATCTTATCTTTAAAAAAATGTAGATTAAAATAATAAGTCTCATAAAATATGAGAGATATCAGAGAAATTTTACAAGTATATGAAATGTGAAAATTTTCACAATTATTATGTTAGCATCTTTGAAAGGCCATAGCTCCAATATTTTCTCAGGTATCGTAATATAATAACATGATTTTGGAAGAGAGACGCATTAGCTTTATAATTATGCTAAATACTTGGATATGGCTAATAAAATCCCCGAGATATAGGCAAAAATATGTTGTGCAAAATTTCGTCATGTTCTAAATATTTTTTGAGTAATCCTCCTCTGGGGCCTATAACTTTAGAAATAATTGGTGGATTTTCATAAAATGGCCAGATAATAAAAGAAAAACATTTCACCTTTCTAAAAATGTGTTAATTGCTAATGAATTTTGCAAAATTATTGAGATATCGTGCATAAACTACAAGTGCTAGAAATTATGACTATTTTCATAATTTTTAAGTAAGTATCTAATAGAGGTCATAGCTCCAATATTTTCTGAGGTATCATACTAAAATAGCTTTTTCCTATAAGAGAAACCCCTATGCTTTAAAATTATGCCAAATATTTCAATATAGCAAGGTAAATGCCCGAGATATAGGCAAAAATATGTTGTGCGCAAATTATTCATATTTCAAAAAACTTTTGATTAATCCTCCTCTGGCGCCTATAACTTTAGAAATGGTTGGTGGATTTTCATAAAATGGCCAGATAATAAAAGAAAAACATTTCACCTTTCTAAAAATGTGTAATTTGCTAGGGAATCTTAGCATATATTGAAGATATAGCCAACACATTTACAAATGTTTGACATTTATCCATTTTAAAATACTATCGTATATATCTTGTAGGGCTTATAACTCCCAACATTTAGTAGTTATATACATGAAATTGCTATATTTTTAATGCGTGATATCTTGTCTCTAAATGTATGTGATATATTTCAATAGAGCTAACCAAACACCCGAGATATACACAAAAATATTAGACCTCCCAATTTTAAAGCCTTGATAATTATCTTTGGTAATCATAACCCAGAGGTCATAACTTCCGAAGTAATCGGTATACTTTAACGATATAACTTGATTTCTGATGATCAATATCTTGCCTTTGATCTGAGGATGTTCTATGGTAATGTGGCTTACTAAATACCCGAGATATCGGCAAAAATAAGATACTTTTTCTTGTTTAAATTTTTGTCAAGTTTTTCGGTAATCATTTTTTGAGGGGCTATAAATGTGAAAGTAATTGGTATAATTATATGAAATCTTTTGATTTTGAAAGAGTAATGCCTGTGCTTTAAATTGATGTAAATTATATTTCTATACGTCATAGCATAACTGAGATATGCAGCAAAAATGTTATGTATATCAATTTTTTAACACTGTGATTATTTTAAGTAACCATGTTACGGGGGCCATAACTTTGGAAATAATCGGTATATTTTGATGATATAACTTGGTTTCAGATAGAGGTAGACTTCATTTCAAAGAAGGTATATTTTATAATTGTATAGCTAACAACATGCCAGAGATATTTGCAAAATTATAAAGAGTCCCAATTTTTTTCAAATTAGGGATCGCTTAAGTAGTATACTTCCAGGGGGCATAACTCGATAAACTTTGTAAATATTTTAATCAGATAAATTTGTAATTGACAGATAGAGCTCTGTTATACAACTCTACAAAATATTGTCCATGTAACTCAAAAAATACCAGAGATATATACAAAAATACAATGTTGCTCAAAATGGTCATAATTTTTTAATTTTTTTCGACGCCTATCTAGAGGTCATAACTTTTAAATTTGCCTATATATTTCAAAAAACTTAATTGTAATTGGGAAATGGAGGTCTGATATTTTATTTTACAAAATTATGGCGATGTAACTCTTTGAATACCAGAGATATTCCACAAAATCTAAAGATACGCAAAATTTTAATTTATTTTAAATTTTTTCCGTTATACATTTTCAATGCCATAACTTTTGAACTAGTCCATATATCTTAGCTAAATAAAGTGATTTTGAAAGAATGATGTCCTGCCTTTAAGTCGGCGTATGCTTGCCTTAGATATCCAACCTAATACCGGAGTTATGACCAAATTTTTATCGCCAGAATTTCAATTTAGTTTTTAAAAACTTTGCATCCAAATTTTTTAAAATGTATTGATTTTTTTATTTTCGAAATTAATTCCTTATCTGATATTGAATATCCTGAGGGTCTGTATCCGGATCTTAAGAAAATGTTGGGGGTATTTTTGCCTCCTTAATTTAACTTTGACCCATTCCATTAAAAGCTTGCCCAAATAGGAAACATTGAATTCTATTTGTTATAAATTTTCGAGGCTATAACTCTTGAACTAATCGAGACATCTTACGCAAATAAATTGATTTTGAAATTATGAAGTCCTGCCTTTAAGTTGGTATATGATTTGATTTAGATATCTAACCTAAGACCAGTGTTATGACCAAATTTGGAAGTCTTCTTTTCAATTTCTTCGCTTAAAATTCTGGTTCCAAAATCTTTATTTTTTTATTTTCCGATTTTGATTTTGAATATCCTAAGGGTCTGTACCCGAATCTTAAGAATATTTAGGGACTTTTTTTGTCTCCATAACTTACCTTTGGCCCATCCCGTTAAAACATTGCCCAAATAGGAAACCTTGAATTCTGGATCCGGTGAACTGATGTCAATGCTGTGGGTACGTCTCCACCATAATTTGCCCAAACCTCGTGACAAGGTGCGCATTGCCTTCGAGCTCAAATCACCGCCATTGCGGTGTTCCTGGAAATTCTCCAAGGCCATTAGATGGCGATCTAGGGTATCGCATTTGGATTTGTCTTCCTTTTTCTTCGACGATGAATCTTTCGAAGAGGCCAATGCTTCCTTGTTTTTGTTGTTGTGATTGCCATTGGCCACATCACCCTCTTCTTTGGCATAACGTTTGAAACGCTCCAAATAGGGACCGCTGGAGCGACGGCGTCCCCCAAATGTATTGAATTTCCCCTCCACCAGTTTTTTCTCTTCCTTTTCGAATTTTTTGGCATTATAGGTATTGCCCAGCAGCCGGGAGAAGGATGAACTTTTGCTGAATTTTTTGTGACGTGGTGGTGTACCAATGGGTATGGTTGGTGGCTGGCAAGCAAAGCCATTGTCTGTGGTGGCATTGGATTTTTCGTTTTTCTCATTTTCTGTCGAAGTAGGTGATGGAGATTTTGTGGATGAAGATTTTTTGGAGAAACTAAATAACGATAAACGCTCCTTTGGCACTTTAGCTGGGTTGGTTGGGTTTTGTGGTTGGCTTTTTGGCACTGTTGGTGTTGTCACTTCATTTTTGAAGTTTAGAAAATTGCTATTGTTGTTGTTTTCTTGTACTTTAACAAAATCCACTTCATCTTTGGACTGGTCCATCATCGCCATATCGCCGCAATGATCCATGGCTGTATTGGTTTGATGATTTTCAAATGCTGTGGCATTCATGGCCCAGGGAAGTTTTTGATTCGTATTTTCCTCTCTCTAGCTCTCTTTGTAAAGCTTGTAGCAAGGCACCGGAATTTAATACCCCAATAGCCTTGTTGTAATTTTGATATTTCCGTTTCCTGTCGTTCCACTGGAATTTCCTTTATGGACCAATAATTATTGGTGTTGTTGTTGTTGCTATTGTTGCTGTTACCACTGCACTCATAATAATGGGCTTCACTTCACTGCCGCAAATTGCATGCAATTTTTAATGGTCTGTAAATGGAAGAAGCAAAAGAAGAGAAAGGAGGAAAAATAAATAAATAAATATTTGTCTGAGCAGCAAGTGTTATAACAAATTATGTAAATATGTTTTGTTTTTGTTGTTGTTGTTGTTGCTGCTATTTCTTTCGTTGCTGTAACGCCACTTAAGAAATGGCAGCTGTTTCTTAAGAAAATTTGTTGGAAAAATATGAAAGAAAAAAACGTAAATATTTTTTTATTGGTTAAAGGCAAATATTATTATTAGATATGGAAATTATTCAGCGGGTGGCAGACCACATGCTCACATGGCAATTTAAATGAAAACAAAGTTGCCCATATTCTCGAGATATGGGGAAAATATGAAATTCCCATTTTAAGGGAAAATTTTTTCGTAATCTCTTTCCAGAGGCCATATTTTTTCAAATATTAAGAACATCAAAATGAAACTATTTTGGATCTGAAACACTCTCCTTAACTCTTTATATTGCTATAAATTATAAAGATGTAACTGGGATAATGCCATAGTTATGGCCAAAGTTTAACGAGCGCAAGTTTGGAAATGTTTTAAGATTTTTTTCGTTACCATAATTCTCAAGACCCTAACATTAGAAGTAGCTATTGTATGACCACAAAATATACAGACTTTGAAAGCAGAGAATCTTGCCGTTAAGCTGACATAAACTTGATTGATTTAGCTGATCAAATACCAAAGATATGGCCAAAAATATAACATTGCTTAATTTTTTGAATTTTGAGGAAATTTTAGGTAATGAGCTATTAGAGGCCATAACTTTTAAATTATTGGATATAATGTAATAGAATTAGCTTATATTTTAAGCTGAGCCCTCTACCCTTCAAATTAGTTTAAATAATATAAATGTAGCTGGCAAAATACCCAAGATATCGCCAAAAACTTAAATGTTCCCAATTTTGCAATTACGAAATAATTTGTCGTAACCACGTTCAAGAGGTCATAACTTTTCAAGTAGTCGGTGTAAATCAATAAAACGACATGATTTCAAAGGCTTGTTGTCTGTTTTTTAATTCGGAAAAATTATATTAATATAGTTCATGAAACACGCAAGTTATAGCCAAATATGTAAAGTGCGCAAAAACTTCATTTTTTTTAATTTTTTCTTTAATCTAATTTCTTTGAGCTATAAAAGTGGAATATATTGGTGTATAGGAATAAAATTCCATGGATGTTGGAAGACCGACATCCGATCTTAATTTTAATATAAATTATATAGATGTCGCTAATCAAATGTTGAAGATATGGTAAAAATTTCAACATACGTAGTATTTTCCAATTTTATGAAATTTTTTAGTAATGGTCTTTAAGAGGCCAAAACTTTCCAATTTTGGGGTATACTATAATGAAATAGGATAAATTTGAAAGCGGTATTCTCTGCCCTTCAATTTGATATAAATTATATCAATGTTGCTGGTCAAACGCCAAAAGATATCGCCAAAAACTTAAATTGTCCCAATTTTACAATTACGAAATAGTTTTTCGTAATCATCTTCAAGAGGCCATAACTTTTCAAGTAGCTGGTGTAAATCAATGAATTGACATGATTTTAAAGGCTTGATGTCTGTTCTTTAATTCGGAAAAATTAAATTGATATAGCTTACCAAACACGCAAGTTATTGCCAACAATGGAACGTGCGCAAAAAAAGCATATTTTGAATTTATATCTTAACATAGTTCCCACGAGCTGTTATAGTGGAATATATCGCTCAATAGGAATAAAAATACATGGATTTTGAAAGATCGGTGTCTGACCTTTACATTATTATATATTATATAGATATCTGTAATCGGGTACTGAAGATATGACTAAAAATTCAACATACGTTGCATTTTCCAATTTTGCGAATTTTTTCAGTAATAGTCCTATAGGGACCATAACTTTTTAGTTATAGGGTATACTGCGATGCAATGGACTATATTTGAAAGCAGGATCCTCTACCCTTCAAATTTATATAAATTATATCAATGTAGCTTGTCAAACACCAAAGATATCGGCAAAAATAAAAGATGATAAGAATTTTCAAATTCGAAAACAAAAATCGGTAACCGCCATCTAGAGGCCATAACTTTTTAAGTAGTCCATGTAAATCTGAAACTTATATCATTTCAATTGCTTAATGTCAGTTCTTTAATTTGACATAAAAAAAAAAAAGCTTCTCAAAAACCAGAGATATCGCCAAAAAATTAAAGTGCGCACTTTTTTTTCGTTATAGAGATTTTGTAACCTTCGTCTAGGGACCATAACTTCTGGAGTCGTCCATGCAGAAACATGAAATTGCCTTATTTCGAAAGCTTAGAGTTGGTTCTCAGAATTGATATACATTTTGTTACATGTAGTTTAAAAATTATCTGTGATATGACCAAAAAATTAACTTGCGCACAAAATTCTGATATTAAGATTTTCTCCAGTAAAAGTTTTCCAACGGCCATAACTTTTGCTATAATGGGTATATTTTAACGAAATAAATTGAGTCTTAAAAGAATAGAGGGTCTTCTTCAATGCTTAAATATTTAAAACTGGACATATATGTGACAAAATACCAGAGATATCGTAAAAATAGCGCATGTGCTGAAATTTTCAAGTAAATGAGAATTTTTTTCCGTATATAGGGTTCAACAGCAATAAGTTTGGTTGTAGTTTTCGTATTTTTATAAAACTAACAGGTATTAAGAGCTTGAGATCTGATCTTCAGAATATGTGAAACCCATCAATGTAACTGACCAATTACCATAGATGGGGGCCAAAAGAAATTATACCCAAATTTGTGAATTTTACAGAAAATTTTGCGTTACCATTTTTCAGAGGCTGTAACTTTTGAAATGTTTTCCATATTCTAATAAAATCTTTTAATTTTGAGAGGATGGGCTATAGTCTCAAAATATTTTGAATTATATGAATGTCACAGAGTTAGTTCTGGAGATATCGACAAAAATGTACATATACACAAAATTTAGATTTAGTAATTTTTTCTTATTTGTCTAGCTAATGAGGTTATAACTTTTGATATAGTCAATGTAGTTTAAAAAAATAAATTGTTTATGAAACATAAATTACAGAGCTTGAAATCCATGTAAGTTACAATAAGGTAGCTGATTGAATTTCAGAGATATGGGCAAAAATATAAGTTTAGAAAAATTGTAAAGGTTTTGACATTTTTTTGTTATTACATTCTAGAGGCCATAACTTTTGAAGTACTCATCGTATCGTCATAAAATAACGTGATTTGAAAGGAGCAGAATATATTTTCAATTTCGTATAAGTTTGTTTTTGGATATGGTTGCATAAATTTCAGAGATATCTCAAGAAATGTACAACGACCAAAATGTTGAATTTTTCATAATTTTTTTCTCCTATAATTACTTTCTAGAGGCCATAACTTTAGAGATATTCCCCTTATCTTCTTAAAATGACGTGATTATAAGGAACAGGATCTATTTTCCAATCTCCATATTTTTATTTTTATATAGCTAGACTAATTCCAGAGATATATCAAGAAACGTACAATGACCAAAAATATAAGTTTCTTGGATATTTTTGTGCTGTCATATTTTTTGGGCTATAACTTTTGAAATACTTAGCCTTTTTAAATAAAATAAATGGATTATAAAAGAACAGATTTTAGGATTTAACTTATGTAAATAACTTATCAAATTACAAAGATATCAAACCATAGATATAACCGAAAATGTAAGGACTTAAAACCTTTCAGTCTTTATAAATTTCCTGTAATCACATTCTATAGGTCATAACTTTTGAAGTACATATCGTATCTCCCTAAATAACGTGATTTTAAAAGAACAGGATCTATTTTTAATTTCCCATAAGTTATACGGATATAGCTTCAGTAATTGCAGAGATATTTCAAGAAATGTACAATGACCAGAATTTTAGGTTTCTTGGAATTTTCCTCGCAGTCATATTTTTTTGGCTCTAACTTTCGAGATGCTTAGCCTATTTTAATAAAATAAATGGATTATAAAAGAAGACAATTCAGGCTTTAATTGATGTAGATATTAATGAGGTAACTTATCAAATACCAAAGATATCCACAAAAATATCATATAATGACAATTTAAAATGTAAAGAATTTTTTCCGTACCTATTTTCAAGGGGCCATAACTTTGGAAGTACCCGTCCTATTGCCCTGAAATAAATTGATTTTGAAAGATTGGTATCTTGGGTCTAAAAATGTTCTCAGTTACATAAATGTATCTAATAAGGTGTTGGAGATATCCTCAAAAATGTGGGAGTACTTAAATTTTGACTTTACTGCAATTTTTTTCTAACACTTTTCAAGATGCCATAACTTTTGAAATAAGTCGAATATTTTTATGAAATAAACTGATATTGAAAGAGTTTCAGTGGATTGAGAAACTACATAGCTTATCTTACGTTTGTATTTCTGAAAGAGCGTATCTTTTAGCCATAACCTATGAGCAATACCACAAGTCTCTCTGCACTTCACACATTAAGAAAAGCAGCTCCTGTGTATTTGTTAATCTAACAACTAACCGCACTACAATTTCGTAATAATTAACTTTAATTAACAAATAACAGATCTACACAATTTAATTAGTTACAATTATTACATCTTTACATACCAAATAATGTAATTGAAATTAGTACAAACAGCTTTGCTAAATGCGATCACAACTTTCGTAATGCGCGTTGACAACGAGTTTTTCGTGAAAAAAATGTGTAATGGACTAATAAATTAAAGCACTGAAATTACTTGTTAGCATTTTTTGCGGGCAACGTCATTATTTCAAATTCAATCGACAAATTAAAAATTCACACATGTTTGGGTTCTTTTTTTGTTGTTGTTTGGTTGCTGTTAGCAGCGGCAAATTGAGAAGGCATTGACCAATATTTTCCATATTTAACAGTTTTTTATATTTAATTTGCACGCATTGATTTTTTTAATATTACAAACTGGTTGAATGTTATTGGTATTTCAATTAAAATAAATAATAATAAAAAAATTAATTATAATTTAATATTTATATGGAATTAATCAAGGGTGAAAATGAGAGAATGCAAGGCGAAATTATGGCATCTGGAATGTGTTTGCAGAATAATAACTACAAATTTTTGGCATAAATTCTGGAATTTTATAAGCTTCATATCATATAAATTTCATGGTCAGGAAGTTTCACTTAAAATTCAAGTTATTTTCTTCAAATATGTCCATTATTTCAAAAGTTATAGCCCCTTAAGCATCGTTACGAAAAATGTGCCAAAGATTCAATGATTTGGGTACTCACAATTTTTTGCACATAACTCTGGTGTTATATTAGTTGCATGCAAATAATTTATACGATTTGAAGACCACATAACACTCTTTCCAAATCATTTTAAATATTGAAGATGCAATGAATACCTCCCCAGTTATGGGCACCGGAATATTACGACGGAAAATATATCTTAATGACAAAAAATGGTCAATCTTTTTAATTTTGGCTACAACTCCGGAATTTGGTTGGGTACATTGCTAATATAAATTTTATATAAAGAACATACACCAAGCTTTCCAAATCAGCATATTTTAAAAAAATGCAATTAGTATAACAAAAGTTATGGCTTCTAGAAATGGATTACCCGGAAATGGCCAAACAAGTCAAAATTGAAATACATGAGAAATGTTGGCGATAACTTTGGTATTTTCAAAGATAAATTGAGCTAGTATCTTAGGAATTTAATGACACGATTTTGGACCTTTAAAATATATTTGTTTAATTGCACAATATAGATTATAACAAAAGTTATGGCCATTAGTAATTGAATGCTGGAAAAAAATCATTAGTTTTCAAAAACGTGCTCATTGTGTATTTTTGGTCATATCTCGGGTATTTGGTTAGATATATCCACAAATTATAATTTATTTTGAAGTTCTTACTCCATTCTTTCGAAATCAGACCCTCCTCTATAAAAATATGTGTATTCAATTGAGATGCATCGGCTGCATCAAAAGTTGTGGTTTCAAGAAGAAGGTTACTAAAAAAATACTCAAAGTTGAAAATCGTGGGTATATCACATTTTTGCCTATATCTTTGATATTTTGGCAGCGACAGCCACATTATGGATATCAAAGAAAAGATCACGCTTTATTATTCCGAAATCAATTGAATTCATAGATATTTCTTAGCTGCTATCAAAATTATGACCCTTAGAAAATGATGTAGGAAATAATTCAACATTTTCGTAAAAGTGCGCACTGTATATTTTTGGGAATATCTCTTGGATTTTGCAAATTACACCAGATTAATTTATTTAAGTTTATAGTGTAGACTTTCTTCAGTCAAAATAAATTTATTTTAATCGTATAAACTGTCTTCTTCAAAAGTTATGACCTCAAGTAGGAGGTTCCTCAAAGAATATTTAAAGTTCAGATTTTTGCGTACGTAAAATTTTTGGCGATATCTCTGGTACTTGGCAAGTTACATCAATGCAAATTATTTCAGTTTACAGTGCAGACGTTCTTCAGTCAAAGTAATTTTATTTTAATGATATAAACCGATTTCTTTAAAAGTTATGGCCTTGTGATGAAGGTAACTGAAAAAATATTTCAAGTTGAAAATTTTGCATACATTAAATTTTTGGCGATATCTTTGGTATTTGGCAAGTTACATCAATGCAATTTATTTCAGATTATAGTGCAGACGGTCTTCTGTCAAAATAATTTTCTTTTAATGATATAAAATGACTTCTTTAAAAGTTATAGCCTTGTGATGAAGGTAACTGAAAAAATATTTTAAGTTGAAAATTTTGCGTACATTACATTTTTGGCGATATCTTTGGTATTTGGCAAGTTACATCAATATAATGTATGACGATTTGAAAAACAGACTCTTCACTAACAAAATATGGCTTCACTAACAAAATATGACATTTACATAAATATAATTTCCATAATACAAAAAATATGACCTTTGGAAGATGTTGATCAATAAAATTCTTCAGATAAGAAATTTTGCGTATGCTATATTTTTGGCGATATCTCAGGAATTTGGCAAGTTACATCAATGAAACTTATGTCATTTGGAATGATAGAGTCTCCGCTATCAAAATTAATTATATTCTACCGATATATTGTAATTATTGAAAAAATTAACCGTTTTAAAAAAAGTGACGGAAAAATTCTCACTTTGCATTTTTGTAGATAACTCTGGCATTTGACAAGTTAGACCTACGTAAATTATGTCAATATAAAGAGCAGGCACTCTTCTGTTGTAATAAATGTATTTCATTGATATATACCGAATTCTTTAAGAGTTATGACCTCCCAATGTGAGTTACCAAAAAATATTGAAATTTAAAAATTTTGCGTACGTCACATTTTTGGCGATATCTCTGGCATTTGATCAACAATATCCATGTAGCATGTGTCAAATTAAAGGCTAGACTACATTCTTCTAAAATCTAATTACTTTATGGACATAATTCGGCTATTGCCAAAATTATGGCCTTTAGAAAATGTTGATGAAAATTTTTGGAAAATTTTTAAATTAGAGTTGCTTTAAATTTTGGGCTATATCTCTGGTATTTGTTAAGGTACATAAACATTATTCAGGAACATTTTATCAGGAGAAGGTAGCTCTTTAAAACTCCGCTGATTTCTTTGTCATACACCCATTACTTAAAAAGTTATAAACTCAAGAAGGGAGTTGCGCAAAAATTTGGAAAAAATTGGAAATTTGAGACACTTAACATTTTCCAGTTATCTTTTCATCTTTATCTACGTCATTTAAAATGTATAGTGTCTTAAAGCTCAGACACTAATCTTTCCAAATCTATTTTTTTTTTTGAAATATAAAAACTTTTCCAAAACTTTAGACTTTGGAAAAAAGAGTTGAGGGAAAGAAACTGCAAATTTTAGTCATTTTATCTTTTTTGCCAGTATTTCAAGTATTTGTTAAAATATTACATATCTTTTAAAAAAGCAAATGAAACGCACTGAAAAAAATTCAGATATGAAAAAAGGTCTCCAAAAAAAGGAACATAGCTTCGTTACGCACCTTATTGAAAATGTTGGTAGGGAGAATTATCCGTTTTCAGCTTCAAAATTAATTTTTGTATTTTTATTATTTTAATATATTTGTTTTTATCACAATCTTTTTGTTTTTATTTTTTAATTTTTTTTTATTAAAATTGTATTGTATTTTTATATAATTTTTTTATCACTTGTTTTTTTTTTCATCTACACAGCCTTCATGGGAGAATGAATTTTTTTTTGTGTTTTGGCAAATTTCTTATTGGCTAGTATTTACCCATTTGGAATGCTAATTTTTTGGTGTTGTTTTTGTGAATGTTTTTTTTTAAAGTCACTTTTGGTATTCCACACGAAAATTTTTATGGAAAAAAATTTACTTTAAAATTCCATGGAATATTTTTTTTAATTCAATATTTGGTGTTAAATGGTTGTGGTTTTTGGCAGTTCAATTTTTTCGGATTTTTTTGCCAAGTTAAAATTTTGGAATTTTATGGAAACAATTTACTTTAATTTGCACTAGTTTCGAAGCATTTAGTTTGAATATCACAGCTAAAATCTTGAGCCAGCTGGGCTGTTTTGGGCCTGGCTTGGTGGGCTGATCGCAGCGCTTAAATTACTTTCAATTAGCACTTCACTACGACCACTTTGGGTTGGTGTGAACTTTTTTTTGATGTTGTTGTTATTGTAATTACAGTTAGCACGGAAATATTCCCACCGAAAAAAAAACGTTTCTTCGCCTTTTTGTTTATTTATCTTCTGCCGTTTTTTTTTCTTTCAAAATTTCATCGAAATATTCCGCTGAGAGTTTAAGGTTTTGGGTTTCAATATTTTTTTTTTTAATTTTTTTCACAAGCGGCCAAAACGACGACTATCGACTGACAGATAATGCGACGAACAAACAAAGGAATGAACGAACGTCAAGTAAAGAAAACTTAAAACGTAGAAAATATTCTACCGCATCTAAGCCACGCGCTCGCCGTTTAGCAGCACCTGAATGAATGAATGGCTGTTAACTGTCTGGCAGTTTTAATTTCTTCAAATAAATATTCAAGCCATTACGACAGCGACGACGACGTTGTCGACGACAGAACGTTTTTATCGAAAGACGGCAATATCAGCGTTGTACGTATTTAAGCATTATCTTCTGCCTGAACGACCACTGAGAATACGAGCGAGAATATCGTCTTCGATCACTTGCGTCCACACGAGTTCGTCTGCCCCAGGGAGCCCACAGGCAGGAGGGGGGAGGGGAAGGGGGAGTAGTAATTTGTAAGAATATCAAACACAAATGTCATCAAAGTGTCCAACTTATCTACATACAGCAGCAGCAACAACAACAACAAGTAATATGGTAGTTTTTTGTTCAGAATACAGTGGGGGACAAAAGTGAGGAAACAAAATCTTTCTCAAAGGGTTGAATTGAAGGTTTCCCAAGGAATTCTTTATGCCGACAAGTTAATTGAAGATTTCCAATGGAAATTTCCATTCAGGTTAAATGGAAGATTTTCTATGGAAATTTTTAGCAACAAAGATGTAGTAAAAAATCATATAAAAAATGTAATAAAAAAATTATATTCAAATTTTGTAATAAAATTTTTATAACATTTATAAAATCTAAGCAGCCATGTGTCAAAAAAAATTGATATAAAAAATGAAAAAAAAGATATCAAAAATTATTTTTGAAGTTGAAAACCTGTATGGATTATTATTACCCTTGCCGACATTTTCAATTAGGTGGGTGGTAAGGTTCTAAAGTTCAATGGGTTCTATTAAACCCAATGTCTAAGGCACATTTCGTTCAGAATCTAATGCTATTCAGAGTTTATTTCATTTCTGTTTAAATAAAAATTTAATACTTGAACCAAAACTTGAGAAACTGCAAAAAATATTGAGTGACTTTAAAAATTTTCAATTTGAAGCGTTTTTCCAAAACACCCCTCTTGGTGGGGCCAGAACTTTTCCAAAAGTCCATAAATACAAATAAAATAAATTAATATTGAATGCTTATACTCTGACCTTTCAATAGGCATGCATTTTGTATGACATAGTCACACAAATTCGTGAGATATCATCAAAAATTTAAAGATACTCAATATATTAAATGTTGCAACATTTTTTGCGCAACTGCCTTTTGAGATCATAACTTTTTAAGTATTCTACATATAATGACATAATCAATGAAATTTTGAGGAACTACAGTCGTTTGTTAAGTTGCATTTGAATTACGTTTATGTACCTCACTAAATTCCAAAGATATAGGCAAAAATATGAAGTATGCAAAATTTCAAATTTCACAATTTCATTTCGTCGTTATTTTCAAAAGGTCATAATTCTCATAATATTCGTTGTACATACTTTAAAAGTTCAGATCTTCAAAGAATACATCCTAGCCTTTAAATTGACATACAAAATATTGATATAGCTGGTCAAATACCAAAGATATCGGCAAAAATGTAACGTGCGAAAAATTTGGGAATTTGAGGATTTTTTTGGTAAACGTCTTTGTGAGGTCATAACTTTTAAAAAAATTGTCGTAAATCAATAAAATAGGTTTATTTTAGATGAACCTGAGTATCTCCTTTACATTGGTACTAATTACTTTGATTTATTGACGAAAATACCCGAGATATCAACAAAAATACACAGTACGTACACTTTAAAATCTTTCGGTTTTTTAAACGTCACCATATTCTAAGGGACATAATTTAAAAAATATTCGCTACGCATCCCTTTATGAATACACATTTTTAAAGATTACAATTCATTCTTTCAATTCGCATACATAATATTGTTATAGCTTATCAAATACCAGAGATATCGGCAAAAATGTAACATGCGCAAAATTTGGAAGTTTGAGGATTTTTTCGGTAACCATCTTTGTGAGGTCATAACTTTTAAAAAATTTTTTGTACATCAGTAATTTTTTTTATTTTAGATGGATCTGGACCTGGACCTCTCCTTTACATTGGTACTAATACTTTGATTTTTTTACAAAAAAACCCGAGATATCAAGAAAAATACATAGTACCGATATTTTGAAATCTCGCATCAACATTTTCTAAGGGACATAATTTTAAAAATATTCGCTACGCGCCCTTTTAGGAAAACACGTTTTAATAGAATATATTCCAGCCTTTAAATTGACATACGATTTATTAATATAGCTGATCAAATGCCAGAGATGTGGGCAAAAATGTAGCGCGCGCGAAATGTATATATTTGAGTTCTTTTTCGGTAACTGTCTTTGGAGGTCCATAACATTTCGAAAATGTGTAGTGCATCAATAAAACAAGTTTATTTTAGATGGACCTGAGTCTCTCCTTTACATTGATACTAATTACTTTGATTTAGCGACGAAAATACCCGAGGTATCAACAAAAATACATAGCACGTACACTTTAAAATCTTTCGGTTTTGTTGCGTCACCATTTTCTAAGGGCCATAATTTTAAAAATATTCGCTACGCGCCCCTTTACGAATACAGATTTTTAAAGAATACAATCTATTCTTTCAATTTGCATACATAATATTGATATAGCTGATCAAATACCAAAGATATCGACAAAAATGTTGCGTGCGCAAAATTTTGGAATTTGAGGATTTTTTTGGTAAACGTTTTTGAGATGTCGTAATTTTTGAAAAAGGACAATAATATCATTCAAATAAAATTATTGCTGCAGTAAAAAGCTTGTTCTATGAACCGAAATAAATTAATTTGATATAACTTGCAAAGTACCAGAGATATAGCCAATAATATAAAGTGCGCATATTTTGAAATGTGTTGAATTTTTTCGTCCATTATTTTCTACAGAACCGTATTATGAAAGAAGATTGTAAATGTCAATTTTTTTCTTTGATTATAGAAGAATAAAATGTGACCTTTAAAGTGGTACCCAACATTTTTGCTATTTTTGACAAAATACCAGATATATAGCCAAAAATGTAACATACATACAATTTCCGAATTGGAATTTTTTTTCAGTAGCATTCCTCTTCCGGCCATAACTTTGGAGAAAGTCCATGTACATCGATAAAATAAAATTATTTTGACTGAAGAAAGTCTGGACAATAAATCAAAATATATAAAATTATTATGTCTTGTTTTTGCAAAATGGTCTGGCTTTATCCCTTTATTGTTGTTTTTATAAAAACAACGTTTGTTTATTAGTGGAGAACGATGGTAATGTTTACCAGGGGGTAAGGCAGGGAATACCTAGGTTTCGGAAAGAGCCACCAATCCTCATCAGTTCCCTTGTTTTTGCCTGGGATATTCTCCCCAGAAGTTATTTTAAAAATAACTTCTATGACAAAAAAAAACATTTTTTACCCAAGTGACGAGATCGTAAGCTCAATAGAAGAGGAACCAAAGAATTAAATAAAACTAAAATTCTCTTGGAAAGTCTTCTAAATCTTACAACCGCACTTATAAACATTTACATCTTTCTCCACTTGTTATGCTTTCGTTCAGCCTGAACGAAGCAGCATAACCATGTAAGTTGGTTTTGTCTGTTACAACAAAAACCCCTTCGTCGACCGTGCCTTGTCTATTAATAGAACAGTGTGGCTTGTTTGTTCGGGATACCGTAGTATTTTGTTTTTGCAAAATGGTCTGGCTTTATCCCTTTATTGTTGTTTTTATAAAAACAACGTTTGTTTATTAGTGGAGAACGATGGTAATGTTTACCAGGGGGTAAGGCAGGGAATACCTAGGTTTCGGAAAGAGCCACCAATCCTCATCAGTTCCCTTGTTTTTGCCTGGGATATTCTCCCCAGAAGTTATTTTAAAAATAACTTCTATGACAAAAAAAACATTTTTTTTTTTACCCAAGTGACGAGATCGTAAGCTCAATAGAAGAGGAACCAAAGAATTAAATAAAACTAAAATTCTCTTGGAAAGTCTTCTAAATCTTACAACCGCACTTATAAACATTTACATCTTTCTCCACTTGTTATGCTTTCGTTCAGCCTGAACGAAGCAGCATAACCATGTAAGTTGGTTTTGTCTGTTACAACAAAAACCCCTTCGTCGACCGTGCCTTGTCTATTAATAGAACAGTGTGGCTTGTTTGTTCGGGATACCGTAGTATTTTGTTTCATCGTTCTCCACTAATAAACAAACGTTGTTTTTATAAAAACAACAATAAAGGGATAAAGCCAGACCATTTTGCAAAAACAAAATACTACGGTATCCCGAACAAACAAGCCACACTGTTCTATTATTATGTCTTGCAAAATGCCAGAGATATCTCCAAAATTGTAAAGTGCGCACATTTTTGAAAATTTTGAATTTTTTCATTCATCATTTTCCAGCGAACTTTATTATAGAAGTAGATATTAAATTTTAATATTTATTTCTTGATTATAGAAGAATAAAGTGCGATCTTTAAAGTACTAATCAAAATTTTTGCTATCATTGACAAAATACCAGAGATATAGCCAAATATGTAACATACGCAAAATTTGCGACATGGAATATTTTTTTCAATAACCTTCCTCTTCCGGCCATAACTTTTGAGAAAGTCCATGTACATCAATTAAATAAAATTATTTTGACTGAAGAAAGTCAACACTCTAAACTAAAATAAATAAAATTGCTATGTTTTGCAAAATGCCAGAGATATCGCTAAAATTGTAAAGTGCGCCACATTTTCGAAAAAAATTAATTTTTTCTCTCATAATTTTCTACTCGACCTAATTATGGAAATGGATAGTTAATATCAATTAATTTCTCTTGATTTTAGAAGGACAGAGTGTAATCTTTAAATGGAAATTTATAATGTTGGTAATCCCTAACAGAATCCCAGAGATATAGGCAACAATGTAAAGCACGCAAAAATTTCAACTTTGAGTATTTTTTGGGTAAGCTTTTTCATGAGGCTGTATTTTTTGATGAAGTCGAAGTCCGCTAACGAAATATATTTTTTTGAGAGAAGAGGGTCTGCCTATAATTTGAGTGCAATTTTGTAATTGTAACTTATCAAATACCAGAGATATAGCCAAAATTGTACAGAGCGCGTAGTTTCGAAAAAATTGAATTTTTTTGTTCATTGTTTTCTAGTTGAAATAAATATGAAAATGGGTAGTTAATATTAATAGATTGTTCTTGATTTTAGAATAACAAAGTTTGATCTTTAAATAGATATTTAATATTTTGTTATCGCTAACAGAATACCAGAGTTATAGGCAAAAATATAACATACGCACAAATTTTAACTTTAAATATTTTTTTCGGTGAGCTTTTTCATGAGACCGTAAGCCAATGTTCGATGAAGCCAATGTTCGCCAACTTAAAATATATATTTTGAGAGTGGAGAGTCTGCCCTATAATTTTAC